GGGGGGTAGCCGCTGCGGTTTCCGTAATTTCCATTCGCAAATAATGGCCTCATTGATGCACCGCTGTCGCCGTTATTTATGGACGTAGGCACGAGCCAATCGTTAAAGCGACAGGCGCTTCGATGTTCAATTTAGTTAATTGCTTCGGGCGCGCCTCCGATACGCTTGATTCGCGCGCAACCGCCTACACCGCGAGACGCCCCGGGTGCTGCCCCCGTAATAGGAAGGACACGCATTCTTCTTTATTCCTTCTCTTTTTCCCATTTGGCCATTTGGAGTGTGCGCGCGTGTGCGTGCTCCTCGAGCACGAGGAGGCACTTTCGAATGCCAGATATGCGAATTAACGTGATATACTCGCGGAGAGGAGTGACGCGCGGCCGTAACAGGTATGTGCTTAATGCCGCTTATTTTGTTTTTGTTTTTCTTTCTATTTTTTTTTTCTTTTTTTCTTCTTTCGAATAATTTAGCCGATCCGTTTCAACGGCTGTTTCCAGTAATATTTATACGGGAGATTAAATTTTAGTAATAATATTTTATCGATGATTATTTATAAGCTGTAGGGTTTAATTCGTTTCCGGGCGTCTTTTATTTGCGGTAATTATTCCATAATCGTTTGCACACGATTACTTTGCCAGCCTATTAAAACTATTTCTCCATTCGACGATTAATATTGTAATTGCTCGACTTTCTTTCCTTTTTCATTATTATTGCAGTCCTCGTTATTGCTAGATGAAAGACAATGTTACGTTTTATTTTGTTCTGAATTTCGTATTAGCTTGCATCTTCTAAGGGTAGCGTATGCGAGCGAGCGGTGTGGCATTTATTTGGCTCGTGAGTTTAAGTCCAAGGACGATTTATTGAATTATCGTATAATGTTAGGACGCGCGTCCAATGGAAAACGATGAAGTCGAGGCGATAAATTAATACGATAGAGCGCGAGGTGTCAAATGCTTTTGTCTATCTGTAAGGTCAAAAATGCAACTGATCGCTGGCGACGAAAGTACATGGACAATGCATTTCAAATACTCAATATTCTCAATGGTTTGCATAACAAACGCGTGTTGAATATTGGCGAATCATCGAGCATCGACTTGAAAAAGCTCAAGCTGCGTGAATTCAATGACGATTGCCAATGGGATTGTCGGCCACGGAAGCAGCCGCTCATGAATATGAAGGGGGAAAATTTGAAGAGTTATCGAGATCACGGAGCTCGTACGTGACAATATCTTTTCTTATTAAATGTGATATAGTATTGCGTGGAAATGAAAATAGTATAAGAATGAATTTGAACTTTGAATGATACACGTTTCACGGACGAGGGCAAGATGATGTGCGCTGAGCCTTGCTTTAACCGTGAGACATTCACTTTACCATTCTCATCTGGCGGATCTGTATTTACGGGAAAATTTATTTACGAGAAAAGAATGCAATGAATTTTCAAAATCTTATAAGATTAGTAAAAATACGTGACAGAAAAATATTTTTGCCCAGATATAATGTAACTTCATCTATTTTAATATTCAAGTTTTAGAAAAGTTTTTCCATACGTTATACCTTACATTTACATATAAATTGCCAACTCGATCTTTTTCTTGTTTTTTTTTTTTTTTTTTTTTTTTTTTTTTTTTTTTTATATATTTTTTTAAACATTTTCAATTTTGTTTCTTTCCATTTAATTGCGACGAACGGACTCCACAATACCATTTAAGCAGTTTTATGCAATTGATAATATGTTTTCTAATTAATGTTAATTAAGAATAATTAATGAATGGTCAGCATTAGAGTATAAGTCATCTTAATCATAGATTGTGGTTTATTATCTTGTCCTCGTCTATCTTGTACTATAGGAAAGATATTAATACTCTTTATTGATCTATAAAGACATTGCGTTCGCAGAAATTTTTCGTTTTGCAATGGCAATAAGATTTAAAAATCTCATCGATTGGAGCTCAAAAAATATTCTCGCTGCTGGATTAGCCGATACAATGTGCATCTGCAATGTGGATTTTAAACATCTATCTAAGGTGTATAGAATTGATCATACTTCTTATTTATGCTGTTTAAAATGGAATAACGAAGGTACAACTCATAAGTATTTAAAGAATGCCCGAGACTTTTAAATTCCAAATAATATCTAACTCTATTGATTTTTTTTTTTTTTTTTTTTATTTTATATTACTTGAGTGACGATCTAGTTACGTAGTAGTAAAATAAGCGATATCGATGATGCATATGTTAATGTAAAATGTTTATAATATATTCATTTATAAAATGATTTGCTTTCCAAGCTGATTAAAATTTAAAAAATAACAGCGATTGCTTTACGTGGGACTATTTCCCATATATTTTCGAATCGATACGTAAACAAGCGTAGGTTATAAATTAAGTTATAAACGATTAATTAACTAGATAATTTAAATGATAAATACTCCTCCGCCAGGCAATCAAATAGCAATGAGTGGTGTTGATGGAAGTACAAGCACGTACGATACCCACTCGAATAAAGTTATTTGGACACGAAAATGTCCTTGTTATGATATTCATCCAAAAAAGTGCAAGGTATCTTGTACAATTTGGGCAAAAATGGATGAACATATTATCAAGTAAGATTTTCATCGATTCATCATAAAACATAAATTCGTATACGGTATCTATGAAGCTCAGATTAAATTGTTATTATCTCATTGATATATTTCATAATTCCATAAGGGAATCCTATTTATACATTTTGCTATTCCGATTTTATAAAACTCTCGATTGCCATATACAATTTTTAATCTATTTATAATTTACACCAATGTATTAACGTTTATATCTTATTTTTTAGTGCCTGCGACGATGGATGTTTGAGCATATTAAGTTCTTCGAACGGTAGTTTGATTACTTCTAAACACTTTCATAGGGAAATATTTTCGATTTCCGTATCGCCAAATGATCAATATTTAGTCGTTAGCGGAACAGATAAACTCGTCAAACTCTTCGATTACCCCTCATTGGTGCAGCTATTTGAAATTGTATTTTACGCTTGCATTAAGGTAATTCAACGAATTTTACTATTTATTATTATTATTATTATTATTATTATTATTATTATTGTTGTTTTAATTTTATTTTATTTAATTTTCTTTTTTTTTTTCTTTTTTTTTCTTTTTTTTTTTTTTTTGTCAACGAATGAGTTTTGTAAGTTAGTTGATAATGATTATTATTTGAAATGCCGTAGTATTAAAATTTTGTATAAATTATACGCAGTAATGGAAGTCTATTAAAATTATACTAACGGCTTATGTTTAATTATCATATCTTTATACGTAATAATTATATTAATGAAGCTTGTGAAATTAAAATTAGAAAATATATTGCGTCATTGTTTTTTGATATTTCATGGGCTCGTAAAACATTTTGCCGTAAAAAAATCTATTAAAAATTGAAAATAAATACATTTAAAACAAAAAATTGTATATTATCGTTAATAAAAAAAAGTTATTTATTGAATAAGGATATTTGGATGGGAGCTACTTAAAATTGTGTGTTAAGTCAATTAAATATTTCAGATTTTATTCAAATCGAGGGAGTTCTTGCATCTATAATCAATAACAAATGAATTTTTTAAGTTTACGGAATTGCCTATTTCATTAAAAATATTTTTTAAATATTTTTGGAATCCATTGCAACATGATTATAAAAAAAAACTATAATTTTAAAGAGATATTTCGCAAAAATATTTCTAATATCTTTTGTAATATTATAAATTTAGATTCATTTAAGCAATGCTAACAGTAAGTTCTATATGCAATACATTTTCATAAATATATTTTAATTTTAAAAGTTGCCTGATATTATAGTTGGAGAATATTATTTGAAAATATTATAAGTTGCATCGATTAAGATTAGTTTTTCTATATATGAAAATACACTGAAATGTTTCAAAGATAATAAATTTGTCAATTTTAAGACTGCAAATTTAATAAAATTATTATATTGTTTCATAAATTAATGAAAATAATTATTTAATGAAAGAATGATTTCAAGTACGTGTATTTCAAATTAAACTCTAAGAATTTATTTATAGTTATTATACATTACATTTTCTAGCTTCTATATTTTCAAATAATAAATTTGAAGTGAAATACGAAACGAAATATATGCAATACATAATATCAAATTCACCTGCACACATATGTTTAATAAAACAACTAAACAATAATATAAATTGTCAGTATTTAAATTAATAGCATACAATGCAAGATATTATATTAAATAAACATTAGTAAACCAATAAGTGAAAAAACAATAGTTAAAACTTATTAATACGTATAAATTAGATGCGAATGAAATATCCTAAGCAAAGAAAAAAAAACGGTTTACCGTATTATATTTAAAAAATTAATTTTTCACTTCCAAAGATGATGTGATAAAAATATAATTAATAAAATTGTTTCAACCTAAGATTTCCCATCGTAACGCATTTAATATAATTATAACTCATTTGGTTGGGAAACTATAATTAAACAAATAAATTGTAATATTGCTAGGTATATGAAATATTGATGCAAAACCTTACTTGACAAGATAATTAAGCAATACAATCATCGTTAAGAAATTAATATCATATATTAATTGAAACATATATTTTATGCATAGTAAAATAAAATAAATAAATTTTTATAATAGTAATTCATCAAAAAATCTATCTATAATTTATTTTATTATATACATAAATTAATTGGATATATTGACGGCAAATTAACAAGTTTATTCATAAGTTAAATAATATTTAATCATACTAATTGCAATTAATCTTAGTACTCTGCATTCGCTAATAAGGTCATGAAATTGTTTATTATGAACAATTATCACGACAAAGTGACTTAACATTTTTTATAAATATAACGCCTTTAAATACATTATCATTATCGCGCGTAAATTTTTTTTTAAAAAATCCAATATAAGCAGTGTTATGTGTCGCACTTCACTAATAATAATATTCTCGCAAAATGTACTTTATTGCATATTCAAAATGCTTATAAAATGCAGGTTTTCTGTATTTATCATATGAATTTAGATATTATATTGGATCATTACGTACTCCTACATTATTTATGTAGTAACTGATGATAAAGTCCGTGTAAATACATTTTAATTTTACGACCCACGATACGATAACCTCAATGTCCATTTCATAAAGGTACGCACGATTTATCAATACTTTGTAATCGGTGATTCTCATAAAAAATATAAAACAGCCGATAAAAACTTGTATAAGAATGTGGTTGTAACTTATCTGAATTTCTATTGGAATACATAATTGTATCAATGGGTCTATGCACTTCTTCCGCATAGATTCAATACATTACTATCGAATTTTCAATTATTCACGTAAGCAGCTGCTCCACTTCTACATAAAATCGCGCGATTATATTCATGAACTTGCCACGAACGAGCCATCCTTATTAAAATGCAGCTTACACACATTGCAAAACACTGTCCACGATTCCAAATACACGGCAATTACCCCCGAGTTTATTGAAAAATTTCAGTTCCCGCCCTTCAGTGCCCGATGAATAATTCATACTCTCTCATTATCATCGATTCAACCGGCTAAATTATTAAACGAAGAAACTTTAACGTGTAAAATACGTCGCAGGCCTTCGCCTGGCACCCCTGGTCATCGGGGATACTCTGCATCGGCGGCGGTCCCGGGGACGCCTCCGTCTCCCTCTGGAACGTCAACAGTCAGCGCCAATTGGGCTACCGCAAGGTCAAGTTCGTCGGCTCGGTCGATAGCATGATGTTCAATAAGCTGAGTGGCGAGCTCCTAGTGCACTGGTACTACCTGGAGAACGACCGACTGCGCTCGAAGATAGCTATACTCGCTGGCCTCGACCACATCGTCGACGCGGTGCCCATTCAGTCGGAGCACAGGATGCTCAACATCGTCTGGAGTCCCGACCATACGAAACTCGGTGACAATTTTATCGAACCTTTTTTGGGACAGCGGTGTCACGTAATGATTAACCTTGAAAACCAAAACTTATGAAAGAGCCTGATGACTTTTGTATTTTTAACTTTATTTTTACTTTTTATTTATTTATTTAATCATTTATTTTAAATCGCTTGGTGGTGGTGCTGTCTGTGTGCGCGATTTTTTCTTTCTTTTTTTTTCTCTCTCTCTTTTTTTTATCCAATAATAACCCGTATTTACTTTCAAAATGACGCTCTGCTCTGCTTAATGGAATAATGAATGCTCTGTTAATCATAACCGTTGCGCGACATTAATTAGATTCTATTTTAACAATTCGAAACTATGCCGACTAAATAGTTGGAAAAGTAATTTGGCTTTACGAGCGACATGCTTACATTTTATTCTATTACGTATGCTAACAGATTTTTACATTTAAAACAATATTTCCATTAGTCGTATAACGCCAGTAATAACTGTATTAATCTCATCTATCAACTGTCTCTGTGATAACTATTTTAATATAAATTTGATAATTTAACACCCTTATATCCTTTAACCGTTTGAGATATTGATTAATCAGGATATGACTCCATTAATCTTTACCCAGCTTCTTTTATGCTTTATAAAATATGTAATGCATATATTATTGTAATAAAAATCTCAGCAAATTAATGTTACGTTATACCTTTTTCTATTTTTTCCTGTTTTCTATATATTAATACGTGTTGATAAATAAGTAAGATAAACCTAAAATATTGTAGGTATAAGGTGGAAAGAATGAAAAAAATTTTAAATTACAATAAACATTGTGAGGCAAACTTTTATTTTTTTTCCAAACATCGTGTAAGCATCGTATAAGCATAGAACCTAATATTCCGGTTAATTTAATATTTAAATAATTTAAGTAAAATATAATGTCGTGAGTTAAAATAAATTAATTATATATATATATAAAAGTAATTGATTCCGAGACGGTATTTATCATGAATTATGCATCAATCTTTTGCTTATAAACTATGCAATCGTCGATTATATTATGATAAAAGTAGCTAGTAATACTTAAATACAACGAAAAAAAATAATATATCCATGTAATAAAAAAAAAAGAAAAAACAAACAAAAACAACATAGAAATGTATTTGTCTTTTAACAAAACAAATTGTGATTAATACTTTTCATGACGAAATCTGTATAACTTATATACATTATGCAGTTATATACTTGAAATATTTGCATATTTTCTACATAAAAGTATTTTTAAATATTAGCCAATTTTTTTTTTTTTTTTTTTTTTTTTTTTTTTTTTTATAAATGGTTTTCCAATTTTCTTTTCTTTTAGCTATGCAGTATCGTGATACACTAGTAATTTGGAATTTTTTCGGCAACGAATTTCACAAATGGATCAAAACTAAGAAAAAGCAGAAAAATAAAGATTCTAAAAGTAATTTAAGAAGCTATTATTTTGATATTCATACCACTACAGAACCGTACATCGCCTTGACAAATTCCAGGCGTGGCAAGGATTTTAGTTATTATGACATACGATAATATTATTGTTATAACATTTTCAAGTTTTTATATTCTGATTTTAAATTTTATGTATTTTATAGACATTTCATATTCTCTGTACACATGATTAATTCCCGATGAAATTAATTACTGTGCCAAAGAAATTTTTTACATGAAGAATAGTACGTGTATCGAAAGGCAATATGTACATATATATGTACAAATATGAGTTTTTTTTTTTAAATGAAACGTGATAATGTTTAGATTTCAAAAAGATCATTCTTTGTCCCGAGTGTTAGAAATCTTAATGTGAATTACTTGTCTTTAAAAGCTCTCTATGGGGGAAATAATATTGATACTTTGCTTTTAAATGATAAAAGTTGTCAAATTATCAGTTATAGTTGTCAAAATATTTAGCGAATACGAGCTAATTGATTTTATTAAAAAAAAAAAAAAAAAAAATTCTCGTCTGGTATGCATTTGTACAAAATATTATTTATTTATTTATACGTTAAAATATTTATGTGAATGATCGTGTAGAGTATCGAATATTATTTAATGTTAAATTTATTTATACAAAATGAGAGTATTTTAAATGTAATTAAAATGAAGGACTTAGCAATGTTGGAATTTTCTAAAAGGAAAAAAAAAAAGAAAATAAAAGAAAGGATTATAAAATGTATACATTAAACTGGATAATAGATTTGATGTTTTCCATAATACAGAAAATTACATAAATAATATTTGTATCTCGATTAAAAAAAAAAAATAAAGAAAAAAAGAAAAGAAATGAAAAGATACATAAATTTTATCGAACAATTTGTAATGACTCGATTAATGAAAATGTTGTGGAAAACCGGTTATGACTTAACTAATACAGAAATGTTAAGTACAGCTAATGGGTAAAAAAATATGATATTCTAAATTGAAATGTTTTATTTATAATAAAAAATATTAATTGATATTTGCATATTGTACAATTTTTTTTTATTCGCCAAACAAATCTCTAAATATCGAAAATTTGTTCTTAATTTGCAGAAAGTATTACTAATGATGAATATTACAACAATATTAGCTAAAACTACGTAGTCATTGTATTTTTATAACGAATGTTAACAATGCTTCGTTTGACATTAATTGTCGTTAATAGATTTTCCAAGATACCAATAAAACAAAATAAAATATCAGTCCGTGCAAAGTCCGTTGTATTATTAGAATAAAGTAGAACTGCAACTACAATGATATAAAATTTATAAATAAATGCATTCTCCATTCTATGCATAAGTTCCAGTCAACAGCAATACCGTCATGTGTAATCCAAAATTTTTTTGCTCGTAGTCGACGAATAAATCTTAATTATCATAATTACAAATGCCTATTCTGCGGATTACGCAATGGATTTATAAAATAATTGTGTATTGTAAAGGAGTTGTGAAAAGAAGAAAGTATAAATAGAATTTAACTTACTATTTTTGCTAACTCACTGCAGTTATTTACACGCAACGAAAATACTACCAACGATGAAGAATTATGTGAAATTCCGGATTGGAGTATTAATCTAAATGTAAAGATTTTAAATTGAAGTGAAATCAAATTCTCACGTAAGGCATAAAGTGCTGGTATAATATATACCATTCTCGTGTCCTGTGGACATTTATAGCTCGTACGGCTTGCAAATTAAATGCTGTTTTCACTCGATTGTGGGCGAATAATGATTGACAGTAAAAAGAAGGGAAATTTCCAAATTAATGTACCTATATGTTTTCGTGACATATGTATTTTCCAAGAATATATCATAAGATCGTAGATTGAGTAGAAGAAACAATGGCTATTCTAATGATCAAGTATAATCGGAATCAGAAAATTGTGCGAAAATCTTGGTTGGAATAATATAAGATTAGGGCGATTATTAACATAAATATATGTCGAGAAATTTTTATTACAGAGACTGAGAAAATTTAAAGCTTTTTTCAAGCGTCAAATTTATTATTAAATTAATTTATTAGTAAGAACGGAAAGCTCAATTTAATTAGAGATTCCTTAATAATACTATAATTTAGTCTGAATAAATAGGGAAGAAAATCTCTGTTAAAGAAGATAATCGATGTTAAATAAATATGTGAAGGTGCTTTCGTACACGTTACGTATACATATACAGGCAAACGAAATCATTAACGAGATTATAACTTCAAACCGAATCAAGACTTCATCTTTAAATATTTCAGGTACACAGCATATGCATAGCTTTGCATTTCATTGCTCGTCTATTCTTTAATTTTTTTGTGTTGTTTATTGTTTTGTGTTTTGTTTTTTGTTTTGTTTTTGTTTTGAAAGACAGAACGAGCAATGTACTACTCACTCGCCACAATGCTTACTACATACATGTACGTTCACGGCCGAATAAAAACTGCGTACCAATACTTTAATGATTATTAGTGAAACGAACTTCACGTTTTACCGTAAAATACATTCAGTGATTACTTAGAGTACATACGAATTAATAGCAAATAGATAAAAGCAGTCGTTTCGGAATAAGAATATTGGTTATTTTGTTACTCGTATAATAATAACTCGATATCAATCGGCTTATAGAATGTCAAAAAAGTTCTTTACATAAGAAAAATTTTCGAAATAATGTTAGTCGTTATCAGCAACTAGTTTCTTTCTAACTCGCACGCACAAAGAGTTGAGAAATGAAATAACCATATCGTCAAACGAGGCTGGGAGCGGGTGGAATCGAATGAATTTTCAAAGGCGAATTATCGCCATAGCTAGTGGCGATATACGAAATTGTAATTGGAAATCAGATTGAAATGGATTAATAAGCAGCTGGTTCTCGGAAAGGAGACCATCCGATCATACGCAAAATCATATTCCCAGCAGAACTGAAAGTCGCGTTCTCTTCACGGAGAACAATGCCGTGGGGAAACAAGGACAATCTGGCACGACAACGGTCTTGCTCCGCGACTGGCCGGCACAATATTATGAGGTATTCGAGGGGCGAGAGAATCCGTGGAGGGAAATACGAAACGAGAAAACGAGACGCGTAATCGAACAGCCGGCAGCCATTGCCTGCTATCTACGGGCATTCATCACGGGGACAGCTACACACACTCGCTTCACTTCCGTTTCTGTGGCATTAACGAAGGGATACGACCGCAACACGAGGAATAAATGGAGAAATCAATGGAGAGAAAAGACCGATGATGTGGCGGGATGAGGTGGAGGGGAGGAGCACGACGAGATACGGCTAAAGAAATGGAGAGTGATAGAGGAGCGCCTTAGAAAATAATCGACAGCTGATGAATCGGATTGAGTCGCGAGGCGGACAACGGCGGCGGCCACTTAGATTATGTATATATGTGCGTTCGATCGTGATACGAATATTCCTAATTTAAAGCTACTCCCTCATGTAATTAAAGATAATGTGTTCGAGGTGGTAGAATGAACGAACGGACATGATTATTCCTCTTTTTATGAATCGATGCGTCGCTTACGTACTGTAAAGTATTATATAAAATATTGGAAAGCCTTTGATTTGTAGAAAGTACGGTATTTTGAAAGCACCAGTGCTGGGAAATTTTTTGAGCAATTATATTTTTGCGATTGGCCATGATGAGCTAGTTGATGCCGATGGGGAATTAACCAAACTGGCTCGATCGTCTTAGCTAGGAATCATCGCAACCAAAGCTTCTTAACTTTGATGATCGGGCCATAGGTAGAGAGATTCATCGACCTGGAAGCATCTACCTAATGCAATTCTGCTCTATAATTAACGGTATTTAAACGAAGTGATAAGGCAAATGTAAACTAATAAAATATTTATTTACCCTATGTCTATTAAATTTTCCTAAATAAAAGTATACGACGATTGTCGAACGATGTCCGTAAAATTTTATTACGAAATTTGAAAACCTCATTTCCCTAATGAATCTCAAGAGGATTTTTCTTTTATTAACGTATAAATTGTTATCTAAGAACTTATGTGGAGAAAAATATATGAATATATTGAATTAGCACGCGTCGAAACAATAATTTGATAAGCCATCGTACTTTCTCAATTACTTGTATTACATCATCCAAACATCTATACAATTTGCAGTTATGGTGGGCTCCAAATTAACAACATTACAAATTTCTCTTGATGCGACAACTATCAAATTATACCCTTCTGTTTTATCAATTTCGTTCGATTTAAAGTGAAAGCTATCTTCCATTGAGATATTATCGATAATCTATCCTATCCTACAAACCATTAAAGTCATAGGACTTTCAAATTGTCGAAAAGTTTATCTTAAAATTGCTTCAAAATTTTATCCCATAATATTATGGCGTATAAGCGCCTGTGTTATTATCAATGTGATGCGAAGTGAAGCGAAGTAAGCTCGAAAGAGCGTAGGGAATAAATATTCCCGCATTTCGAATGTGAGCCGAGCCTTATCGGCAGACCCGCGACTTGCCGATTCAAATTACAAGTCAAAAAGAGCCAGACGATGTAACTACCCGTCTATCCTGAACTACCTGCCGTGTGGTTAAGCCACGCGTGCTCGGTACATTTGGCTCGATCATTACGTATTACAAAGTACGTAGAGGAGTTTATCGCGGCACCTCGACTCCCGCGCAATAATTTAGACGTAAGTCGTCGCGAACGTCGGGGCCACCTATTTGAGATTTTATTATACCGATTGTCGACCGATCCCGCAAATTGTACGATAAAGAGAGTGCGCTGTTTAATCAATCGCCCTTGATTATCATCGCCTTATACGTGGAATTTTTTTCGCCCGCTGAATGGAAGAGAAAACATTGGCCCTCGAGAAGAAAGATCGGCTTGCGTTGATTGTGCTTCATGTCGCGTATGCGCGAATCTTTTATTCCTTTATTAATTATCTGTTGTGTTTTGAATGGGAAGATAACACGCCACTGTGATTAAAATGTCGTAGGTGGATTTATTTTTGAGCGAGGATCGTTAATTTTGATATCAACGAATACTACCGATCTAAATTGCAATGGTCGTCAAGATTCAATGCCCTTTTGCTTTTTATTCTTTAACGCTCGTCTCAGATGGCCGATTATGGTAAGGCTATGTAAAACAACCTTATAATAATAATAATAATAATAATAATAATAATAATAATAATAATAATAATAATAACAACAACAACAACAACAGCAACAATTACAACAATAATAACAACAACAACAACAGCAGCAGCATCAATGATAACAACACTGACAGCGACAATGACAATAATAAATCGTTTAAGTTTGTTTTCTTAACTTTTCACGAATTCAACAATTTTTACAATATCTATTGCATTAAATTATGGCATTGTAATGACGAGCTTAGTTGGAGTTATAATTAATAAGGCGTTTAAGCTAAAATACCGTGAAAATCATTCATTTTTAAAGTTCTCGTGTACGTAATTTCAGTTCCACGAGAAACTGGACATTACGTGATTTTTTAATTACAGTGTCTCTCTGCGATCACTTACTCAAGTGTATTTCTCTAAGGAATTTTTGAAAGCGTCGTATTTCGAACCTGCCAATATCCGTCGAAATGCTGCTCGCCGAACGAAAAAAGAAAGAAAATTCTTACAAACCGCCATTTCCAAACGCTTGACTCGTAACAGCGTTTCTTCGTAAATAGTATTTTATCGATACGGGTAGTATTTCAGCGAAGCTCATCTCCACTCAACGATAAAAAGGAAACGGAAAAATGGCCAATGTAGTAGAAAAGACACCACCAGATATCGAACGGCGAACGATGAATAATTCATTGGTCATCATAATACATGAATACGTAACGAAGTACAATTGAAAAACAAAAGCAAAATATACGAGGAGAGTAAGCAGTGTCTTCATTAAACTACTATACAGTAAACTATAAGTACGTGCATATAATAGAAGGTAGAGCAGTGCCGGCAAAAGGTCAAAGGAGCTCCGACTCGCGCGCGCGCACGAAAGTTCTTACGTACGACGGAGGAGGTGCGAGGATGCGCGTGTCCGTACAAGCGTAACGAGCCGGCATTATGATACTAATGCACAACGGCGGCAGACCACCAGGCTTAAGACAACAATTATCTCCGCGAATCATTAATGGCACGCACTGGGTTGGGATAAGGGTTCGGAGCAGCAACGAGCGGCAATTGGCGTAAATCTGCCATATCGGGAGTCTGGGCAGTCTTTATACGCTCGTCAACGCCACGGGAAAAATTATTAATACGTTTACACGTGGTAGACGGTAGATTTAGCACTTAAGCTGCTCTATAACGCTCCACGTATTCCTTTCACCACCCTCTCACCCTCCTTCTTCATCCCATCCCATTCTTCCCAATGAAGTTATACGTTATAACAATAATGGCGCGGCAGTATCTTGTAAATTTCTATTCTTCTACGAGGAGAGCAATTCACATAGCGAGAGATAAACGCTAGGAGGTGGCATGCAACTTTCAAGATCGCGTTTCGAAACCACGTGAATTACGGCGTTGCTAATTACCGGGGCGATAGAGTTTATGTTAATTCGATCATTTACGCTTTCATTTAACGAAATGTACAAATTTTAGTTCACGAGAGCCGATTTTTATCAGCCGAGCAGCAATCTGTTCTAGTTAAGTGATACTTAACCAACGGCTACGTACTGGGCAATTACTTTAATGCTTTGAGAATTATAATTTCAATCTACAACGATTATATTAATTGTAAAAGTCGATCATCCCATTATTGCCAGCTTAATTTAAATAAGATATTGTGGGCATTAATATGGATCGCGGGTACGCGTAATGACGTGCTCCGACGATCTCCATGATTAACCAGAGCGTAATTGTAGAAATGACGAGAAAAAGCCATCATCCTGGCGGAATCGCAACGAAGATGCGACAACGAGGTGCAATTATAGAACCTGTACGCGTTCGCTGACGATATAAGTCCGAATCCCTTAATATTCAAGAGGGTTTTTGAGTTGTGACGTGGATTGAAAAAGATCGAACGTAATTTTCTGTTAATGATAAAACTAATATCCGTATAAACTCGTTTATTTATTAGTCCGCCAGCATATCCTCGTTGTTTTTCTAGGAGTATTTATATCAATGCTGACAACATAATCAGCATCGCGTTTTTAGCACTCCTTTTCGTTTTCTTCCATCGAGATCATTCGGGCAAGTGGAAATTATGCGCGACTACTGGTGACTCGGCTTATTTTTCACTTTCCGACTACGCTAATCGTTACCTCAAACTTATAGCTCTAATAATTAGAACTCAAGCCTGTATAATCATTTGAAATAATACGCATACCGATAGCGCATTCTCGATTTTGTATTTAAATCGCTGAAAGTATCTTATCCCGCGTAGGTCGTACTTAATTATTATAATATGATAAAAGTAACTGCGCGAATCTGTCTTATTGCACAAGCACCGCAATTCTCTCATCGGCGCATTAATCGTGGAACGAATCAGCTCGTCCCAGCTACAGCGACAGCTCCATAAACGTCAAGATAACGCTGGAGTACGTCATCCTCTTAATAACGAGATCGTTACTCAAGCTGCCGCAGCGGTGACTCGGGCGAGGGACTTTCGTCCCCTATTAAGCGACGTAGCTCGATTTTCGCGGATGCGCGACTTTTTCACTCTACACGAGAATCAAAAGTCCCGGGGTTGGAGCGGCCGGCGGGGAAAAGGAGCGCAGGCAGCTCCTCGGAAATGGCCGAGTCATAAATTTCGTGCGCGCGAGCGTCCGAAGCTCCTCGCCACCGGTAAGAAAGAAAGGCCTCTCGCGGCAATTATTTTCCCTGGACGGTATATTTCAGGCGCAACGTCTCAATAACCGAGGATGATCCCCGGGTGCCCGTATCCCCTTCCCCTACCCCCTTGCCACCGCAACGAGGAAGAACTTTGTATGAAATTACCGGTTAATCGCTCGGCTGATTGCTTCGCTACGATATTTCAAGCTCGGACCTCATCGGGCCCGACGAGCATTACACCGGAATCGTGAGGCCCGCTCCCATGCGGGATGCCCGGCGTCTATCGGTAAAAGCGTAATGCGCACGTGCCGATCGATCGGACACGTACGCTCTTCTACTACTTCGCCATCCTTTAACCGCTTGGCTCCGCTTTTTTTTTTTTTTTTTGCCCCAATCTCTTTATAGTTTTCCTTATTTATTTTTCGCATTCTTACTTATCGATTTGCGAAAATTCGAGCGTGACCGCGCCAATTTACATTCCTCGAGCGTTGTATTCTTTTATTGAGACTGAATTACAACTACTAATAATATTTATTATCATTCGGCTTGTTTATGTGATAGTCGCGAAGTCACTATTAAGTTTGCAAAATCTAATCACTGTCAAATAAATTTTTATAAATGTAAATCTGGCTTGACAAATTGTAATCGTTGTGATTATCGTCTGGTTATAAGATGTGCATGCATGAACGATTGGAAATTTTTCTTTTACAATCTAAGAATAAAAAACCATAATACATCGAGCAATGTTTATTATTCGTCTCGTTAATTTATAATAATCAGACGTAAGTAAAAACAAAAACAAAACAAAACAAAAAACAAATAGAAGAAAAAAGATTGAAAAGAAAATATTGAATGTTAAATTTAATGGGGCAATGTCAACGAATTATTATAGAGAGTAAATAGATATTGAAAGTATAAGCACTTATTAATATGTATAAATATAAAGTTTTATTAAGTTTACATAGATATCAGTCCCATGAAAATACATTAACATCCGGTAATGTTTATATATTTATATCGTATCTCGTATTATTGCGATGAAGTAATTATATGCGGCTTTACAACCGGATGCACTTCAAAAAGTTCAATTCCAGGAGGAGCGGTACTAGGCCTCTTTTTAGACCATCGTCTTGGTCTTCGGTATGACAGTATGGCGTCTGCGTCGATTTCCGTGTTATTTATGAGATCTTCGATTTTAATACTTTTGATTAATTCTCTCATAGTTTTAGTCGTTGGAACATTAATATCAATTGTACTGTCAGGCAAAGGGCCAGTTCTATTGTTGGAAATACAAAAAATATTGTTTAACGTTCTTCTCTTTCTTCGTTTACCTAAAATTGAAGTATCACGCATTTATGTATAGTTATTTATGAATTCGAATTGATCGTTGATTTTTATTAAATTTTTCCAAGATAAAATCTTACGTCTTTTATATTCGGTGTCATCGGGAATTATAGGTTTCAAATACTGTAACGAAAGTACTATTAGTAAGTTTGATTGTCACAACTGTTGTTTTATTAAGACATGCAATAGATGATATTACCGTTTCAGAATCTGTATCCGAATATATAAAAGAATGAGCTAGACTTTGAGCTGTCCATGAATTTATTTTAAAGGAATCGCAAGGATTTTTCTTGGACCTTTTTGCATGCAACTCTTTTTCAATATCGTCGTAATTCGTTTTTATAACTTCGATAAGCCACCTTCAATTATTTATTAAACATTAGGCATTAAATAGATAAAACTTTTCATTAACAACACTTTGATGATGGTATTGATTATTCTTACCCAAAGCCTTTATCGATGTTCTTATTTAAATTAAAATATTTGTGCTTATCTGGATAACATGAACAAATTTCAACTCTGGTGTAACATTTGGCAAAGTTTACGACACTTGAAATATTCATGTATTGTATGATATCGAATTCATCGATGGCATGATGTAAATCTTGTTTGTTACCTAAACTAAGGATTTGATAAAATTAATAAAATCTTCCTTACTTGCATAAGATATGCAAATAGATATACAAAATAATATGCATAAGGTATTATTTTTAATTCACGAGTTATTTAAACAGAAGAAATTCGTTATATATTTGCCTATTACTCTTAATGCTATATTTAAGTTGAATGAAAATTTAATTAATGTAGATTAATTTTATCATACGATTAATAATACAATATCCTAGTAATTATATTGGATATTTTTTTAATTTTATACCAGTAATAATATATTTAAGAAAAATGAAGTCAGTGTAAGGGTAATGGTAATATATTAATAAATTTCTTATAGTTTTATTTTATTTTTTTTTAAACTATTTTAAAATATACATACATGCATATTGATTATACTAATAAAAGTTAAACATGCAACAGTATATATGAATAAACGGGAGAGAGGGTATGTGATAAAAGTGCATTAGAGAACTGAGAAGATTTATGATGGACGTGCAAGAATGAAAAACGATCGGTATGAAGAAAAATGATGAGTTGAAAATCGTATATAAGTATTATAAAAAAATATATATATATAACGTGAACGACAAATGCAACTATCACGTGTGATTTATATATATTATTAACTGAATCTTAAATTTATACATGAATGAATATAACGAAGACAAGTAGCTAAAGTAAAATGAATGGTACGGAACAAAAAATCTTGCACACATTTGACATTAACGAAAGAATTGACGATAGACGAATTAAAAGAATAAAGTAAACATATTTACAACAACGTACGAAGGTTACATAGATACAGGTAGAAATTTTTCAAACTTATGTAGAGAATAAATGCACTAGCTTATTATTTTTTATATATTCATATCTTTTAAATCAATGTAAAGTTTTGACTAATATATAATTCTAATAATTCGTTGATTTTAAGAATTAAAATAAAAATAAAGATTATTTTTATCTCGCACAATAAAACAATTCCCACCAATAGTATTTTAAAGAAGTTTTCATCTTGAATAAAATTTGCAAATATTAGAGTGCATGATGGTAAATATAAAAAATTCACATGTACAAAAGATTTTAAGTAAATTTGATTGTTTTATCTTTTAAAATGACTTTTACAAAACTTCAAATAAATAAACATGACTATTTATTTTTATTGGGATAAAAATTTTCAATAAGAAATAATGATAAATAATAAATATTATAAATTAACAAATTATCGAATTATCAAATTTCTCGCGCTTCTAAAAATAATTCAAAATTCATATGCAATTGCATTTTGTATGTCGAACATTATTAAAATTATTGGAAAAACTTTTCCTACACACACACGCGCACACACACACACACACACACACACACACATATATATATATATATATATATATATATATATATAATATAATTAATAAACAGTTCGACATAAGAATAGACATATAAGTAAGCAAAGAAATATATACTTTGCTTCTAAAGTATCGACAATTATAGTGTTAAACTTCAAATACTAAGGTGCGGTAATCGTGTTTGTTGATTCTTAACGAAAACTTTGCTTACAACAAAATCGGTTTTTGTTTAATTAATTCATGACAAGCAAGCTCCTGAAAAATATTGGCACTTTCAGAAAGACGATCGTGATCATTAGCGTCCACTACATATATGACGCCGTGTACCTAAAATATCGATTAATGAAAAGAACTATAGGAATCTTCTATATGAGAGTGTTCTTGTAGCGCTATAAATATAATGTGATTAATGCCAGTAAAGAAAGCTTGAATTTTATTTTTATTTATTTTTTTTTTTCTGGTTTTTTTGACTTGTAGTAATTAGCCATCTTTTGAAATTTTACTTACATCGCCGTAATATTTAGGCCAAAGTGCTCGAATTTGCGGTCCACCACCAATATCGTATAGCTTGATCGAACACGATTTAAAATTAAATGTTACTGTACGAAATCCTATCGTCGGCACGACTTTTTCCTTCGTCAGAAAACTTTCTATAATAAAGCATTGATTATTGCATTTGCAAAATAAAAACAAAAAACAAAAAAAAAACAAAACAAAAAAAAAAACAAAAAAACATGTGGTATTGTAATTATTACGCTATAACTGAAATTTACCCAGCCTTATTATAATATAAGTATAGGAGCTAAATCCCAACCATAGCAATATGTCAAATTAATTGTTATCCAATAATATTTATCATTAAAGCACGCAAGCTAATTGTTTTTGTACAATATTATACGTACATTAACAAACCCATAAAACACTTTACTCACTGTTAAAAAGATAATTAACGACTGCACTTTTTCCAGCATTATCAAGTCCAACAACCAACAATACCACAGACCTAACAATGTAAAATACGATGTTTATTGTATATTTTAATGTATAAAATATAAAGTGTATACTTGTTATGTTTGGATATAAAAAAAATAGCAATTAAAAACGCACTTTTTGACTTTTCTTCGACATGAACATTGTTTCCAAGCACATCCCATGCAAGCTACGATTGTTGCCGATATGCAGTTGCCCATGTTTATCGTTTAATAATAAGCACATTTATTACAAATGCTCGATATTAACAATTGTTGTAATGTCTACCCATGGCACTGACCGCTGCTAAGGCAAACAAACTACTTTTACGCGAGCGCCACTAGAGGCAATGGACGCAAACATAAAAGCGGCATCACACCTCCGTCGATAAGCCAGAGAGCCCGTTAAGGTAACGCAGCTTGGTAAATAAAATATATGTGGCATAAATAAAGATCGAGATAGGAATGTTAATAAGCATCCGGGGAAGGGATGGCATTGCACTGGGCACGCCCGATTTGTTCAATTCTTTTACAGCGCAGAGGTGAAATTAAAAAAAAATTCACCTCGTCATCGAAATTCTAAATGATTTGCGAATTTTCATTATTAGACAATACAAATGCTCTATTATCTTCATTTTATGTCAATTCTATTTTCAAAATTAGTATACTATTCCTAAAGAATTTTTTATATTAATTATTAAACATTTATATTGTAAGAATAAATGGTATATTTTATGTTAATTTTGAAGAACCGTGTTAACGCTGTAAAATTCATTTTACAACGAGCATAGTATAGGGATGGAAGGATATAATAGCATGTAGGGATGTAAGAGTAGCGGTAAATGATAAATTTTGTTCAATATACTTAAACAAATTTTACTATACGCGAATATTTAATACATTTCGTGGTCCGAATCATCAAATACACAAGTATATTTAAAATAATTTGCTTACAACAAATCTCACATTCTCCTAATAAATGAAATGTATAGAAACATCTTATCATCTTTAATATTATTTACTTTCTATAATTTTTCAATATCATGTTGCGAGTAAAAATGCACATATAATCAGATAAAAAATGTTTGCAATTTATAATGATTTCTACATACAAATAATCACTTTCGGTTCAATCATCTTATTTGATTATTAAAATTACACAGAGTAATGTACACTCTATCGATGCCTTACCAATAGTACTGTTAAGTATAGGTGATTTTCAATTTGACAAAATTAAACCGAATTATTATTTAAATAATATACATACTCTAATAGCTTAATGAAAAACTTTATATAACGTATAGAGAGACAGAGAGAACCTCCAAATAGCATCTCAAAAAAATTAATTAAAATATGAATGTGTCTAACATGATTAAGTGAATTTTCACGTTCTTATTGCCTAATGTATTTTACATAATCTATGTATTCCTTATTTTTCCAGGCACGTAATTCTTATCTATACAGACTTCCTGCAAAAACATGTGTAAACATCGCTCATTTTGCGCTAATGGATGTCCAGCAATTCTGTAATAAAATAAATAAAATCCTTGTATCTCAAGAAATATTAAACTAATAATATACGTACGTTGGTGTGTGTGTGTGTGTGTGTGTGGCTTTATAAATAATTGTTTTGGTATTCAATATAAGATTCGATATAAAGAAAGGAATGCAGATTTTCTTTTGTTTCTAGTAATTTCATCTTTACAAATTCTGAAACAACAATCTAATAATATTTAAGACATTGCATTATTTTGGAAGAAACTCTTTTTTTCATCGACATAAATGCTTAAACTGCAAACTGCGATTTCTTTAACTGTGCGCGAACTTTATGCGCAAACACCTAACCTATATATATATATAGAGAGATTTATAATTTTCAGATTATATTTCCGTGGCAAAGTAGCAACAAATTGTATACTTTCTCGATACAGTCATACGTAAGAATTCCTTTAAAAAAACAAACAAACAAACAAACAATAAAAAATGTTTTGTTATAATAATTATATTTTAATAATGTGATATTATCGAATTATTCTTTATACAAAATTAATCATAAGCCCTTGTTTCTGCTTCTTACACGTATGTGACACGGATTTACGTGCGCATATGTTCGCGCGCGCGCGCGCGCGTGTACATGTGTGAAGAAGCATAATACACACAATAGACTCACTTTATTATTACTTTAAACTATTTTGCTATATTGTAGGGACTTACTTATTCACAAAGACTTCCAAACCCCTCCTTCGATCTTCAATAAAATCTTCCTCAAAAATTCCATCATCTCCACGAAAAGGCATTTGTCTTTTCCATGCTTTACCTGGTAACGGAGGCACAACAATCTGTAATGAAATGATGTATCGATTATAAATTTTGTAAGATAATAAAGCCAACTCATTGGGACACAAAACATAGAATATGCGAACCTTGCTGTCTCGTTCCAATTCATTTCTCAACCATTCAAAATCACTGTATCTCCTTCGTACACTCGAGTCTTTAACTTTGAAAACTGGTAAATTTGTCTGTAACAGAATTACAATATAAATGTAAGAAGCTCTATGCTTTTAAGACAGTTTTTAATCGTAGCGGTTGGACACAATTATAATGTTAAAGGGTAACTTAATACCGTATCACTTACTCCAATTAATAATTGGCAATAATATTTTCAATGTAGTAAGAACGAATAACGAATCCTTAATCGAAAGATAACAAAGGATGGTAAGATGAATTTCTTGTTGCTACAAATAACGAAGGATGACGAAAAATTGATGAAATCGATCGAGCCAGAATTGAAGCTCGAGTCGTTGTCGACGAGCTCGCACGCCTTCTCGACAAATTCGACACCTTCTGCCGTACGACGAATTCATTCGACCAACGCCAACAAGTGCCAAACATTACGTAGCTATTTACAGTCGCCAGACACAACGATCCACGGCTCCTTCCCACCTATAGGGATTCCAATCAATGAGCCATATGAATCCAGCGAGATACCCTACTGACAGTTCGACGACTCCTCGGCTAAATGTATGAGTGCGAGCGAGAAGCAATAAACAAAGCCGTCCTCTGCGATCTATTAGAAATGCGTGAGGACGACCTAACCAAGATAGGGCGTACGAGTAAACTGGTGTGATGAAAATCGCGAAGATAATGGCGGGGGAGGGATTGGGGAGGAGGGATGGGAATAAAAAGGGAGAAAAACGTGTAGGAGAGTATCGGTGCGTTGGTAAGGACGTGGATGGCGCTCTAGATAGAGATTATTGGAAGTTGGGGAGTTGAGCAAGAGCTGGCGCGGATATACTCACTCGCATTCGGACTTCGTAATCGGTGTATCGCTTCTTGCCGAGGCCGTGGGTAATCGGATTTATCACGTCGATCTCGAGAAAGTTCGCCGGGGCCGCGTAGGCGTCGTCGAGCGTTTGCTTCTTGACGTTCAAGCGGCGCGTCGCGTCGACCGTCGTGTCTGCCATGGCAATTTTGACAACTGTCAATGTCGGGAGTCCCCGCGTTAAAGTCCTCGCATGCACGCGCGCACGAACGTACGCACGCACGCACGCACGCACGCACGTACGCACGCACGTACGCACGAACGGACGGACGGACGGACGGACGGACGGACGGACGGACGGACGCGCGCCCGCCCGCACGTACAGTAGAGGCACCAGCAGACGGAGAGGCCGGGACACGAGGATCCGCCTACAGCCGGGACAAGGAGAGACAGCGAGGAGGCATAGACCTCAGCCGACGGGAGCCAGTGCGCGTAACGCGAGCGACACTCCGCTGGTGGGTCGAACCCACCACTTTCACGCACACGAGCGCAACACAAATCCCTATCTGAACGTGCGTATGCGCGCCGGCGCTGACTATGACGGTGGTGCACTCGAGGGCCGCGCAGGCTGAGGTGGCGGGCCTACCGGGTGATGGCGGCGGTGACGGTGGCGGGGATGGCGGCGGTGACGGCGGCGGTGACGGCGGCGGCGACGGCGGCGACGTCGAAGGAAGAGAAGGAACGATCATCCGGTTCTCAACACGACGTTGAGCCTCTGCGTCGCACCCTCGCTTTCGCGGCGAGGTCGTTGGTTCTTGCCGGCGGGTCGCGCGCCCGATTGGCCGACAGCTCCGATGGAATGCCGTGGCATTTTTCTACTTTATCGACCTTCTCGCGATACGCGCGCGCACGGGGATGTGTGGGTTGTGGCCTATCGGGTGCCCTGCACGGCCAGATTGTAACGAAAAACTTATTAACAACGTACAAGTGGCCAGCGGTTACGCGCGCGGGCGCAATCTCGACGTGTAATTAGCCCGATAAACCTCCGGCTTGTCTCTTTCACTTGGCTGCTTATTTCTTTGTACTTTTTAGTTTATAGTGACTGACGCACTGTGCGTATGCACACGTGCAAGGTTTCATCGTAAACTATTGGCGTTAAGCTCATAATTGTAATATCGATGCATTAAATTAATTGAGTCATCCCGTCCTTAATTTTTTAATACAATTAATTTCTACCTGTGTTTCGTTTATTCGACGAATGGTTCTCGTTCGTCTCAGTAACATAATTGTACGAAAGTCATATTGTTCTCGAGGCTTACTTATCAAACTCCTATTATCATCCGCTTGTCATTTATTTGTTAATTCTTGAGTCCCATTAGAGATAAGTATTTATGTATGCATATATGTAAAATAAATAAATCGTCGATAATAATATAATCGTTAGCGTTAAAGAGCGGAGAACAAATCTCTCCTTCCTTGTTGTGACTAGAAAGTATTTACATAATAATTTTAACATTGTCCTTTGTCATTGCCCGGGCAATATAGAGAATAACATTCTCTCGGCCGACTTTATGCCATATATTAATTACGAACAAAGTGCTTTTTGCAAATGGACATAACCGAATGATACGCGGATGATTGGTCGGCAGCCTATTGTCAAGTTCCAGCAAACCATATTTCATTCGAATGATTCTAATGGGAGAATTAATGGGCCGTAAGTCCAATGCTTAACACTATGACTCGTCGTGGAGCACTGCAATTGAAACAATGGAGAGGCAAGATTACGCATGAAAGTCGTAATGAGCTTATTTGACCTCTGAAGCCGAGTATTTTTGGGCATCGGCCAATAACAGCGAGCCACCGAAAAGGCTTTTTTGTTTTTTTTTTTCTTTCTTTTTTCTTTCTTTTAATCTCGAATGATTAAGCGAGTCGCCCACGATTTAATTGCGATTATTGGCGCTGATTTAATAGCGCGCGCGATACCGCTGCTGATTATGATGACAATATCCAATATCCAATAGGCAATATCGAATTTATCCCGACGTTCGATGGAGGCTAAGAGCTAAATAGCCTAAGATTATCATCTCATTAATGCGCGAAGCAGTCGTGCGTCGTAACTCCCGACGCTCCTTACCCGCAGCATCACGCGCAACCAAGTTTTTTTTTAATAACTCCTGACGCTCCGCAGCGTCGAGGAGCAATGCGTCTCGGGGCGATTCGATTGGTCCGTTGACTCGACAACTCGTCGATGCAGCCGCGATTGGGTGCGCGCGGTACGGTACGGGACAGGCGAGGGTTGACTTTCACCTTCTCTCGCTGATGCATCTCCAGCGGGCAGCTGCGTAAGATAAAGCCAGCTTACTTGGCCGTGCGTTGTACAATTTTGGAACGCGCACCCTCTTCATGATCCTGCCGAGGGTAGAGAAACTGTCGTGATGTTACAAAGCCATGTAGTCGTTTAAATCCAAGTTTTTTTTTTTCGATATGGGCCGCGAGTGCCTGGAGCATGTGTGTTGAGTTTGTGATGCGTTGTTTTATTGGGTAAGGGGGAAGGGTAAATTATTATTTTCGCCCATAACCTCGAAAGGCATACCCCACGAACAAAGAAGCCGAAAATAATGCAGCAGTGGAGGCAATATCTCTCTTTCGATTACATTATGCTTTTTGCCAATGCGAGAAGCCGATTTTAGGGAGATCGTAGCGAGGATTATGAGAGTTAGTTGAACGTCCGGTACATTGGTGCAAATTTAGATAAATGTTGACAATGGCAACTCCGGAGGGAACGATTCTCTTTGCAAAGCTCGAAGCTTTGAAAGATATCAGGTAGCTTTTTAATAAGTGTCTTTGTAATGGGGGAATTTTGTGGGTGGCATTTTATGTTAACGCTTACGTGCTTATTGTCATTATCTAGGTCGAAAACTATCCAGTTAGACAAGATAAAGCAGAGAATCTTCCAGGAAGTAGAGCTAACCGAACAAGAAGATAAATGCTTGATGGAGTATAAACAGGAAATGGATTTGCTGATGCAAGAAAAAATGGCTCACGTCGAAGAGCTTAGACAAATTCATGCCGATATCAATGCCGTGAGTCAATAATATCCCAGCGTGTCTCGTTACGTTTATTGTATTATTTATTTGATGTTTTGATCGTAGATGGAATCGGTTATTAAGCACGCAGAAGAGGCGAGAAATCGTGCTAGGGAGGCTGCTAAGATAATTCACAACAATGATTATCAGCCCTTGAAACACGATATCGACAGAATGAGAAGAGATTACTTGGGACTCGAAAGACTGCCTGAACTTTATGAAATTGATAACGATATAACTCCAGAGTACGATTTGTTTTTTAATCCACTCGATAATCGTAATGTATTCTATTAAATTCAACTTAATTAATCGTAAGCTGCATTTTCCAATTGCAAGCGCACTTTAATAATTTAATTGCAATTCATACAAAATCCCAGGATTCTGTTTGCTAATGGGTAGAAAAATCAATTTAGCCGACGAAATTAATCTTATTTCAATTAACAATAGGTATTGTCAATTTTAGTTATTTTGAACGTGCCGTACAAAAAGCAGAGTGGCGTATGGACGTACGTGGCGAAGATTTACTACCTCCATTAAGTATGCATTCCCACGGTAGTCATCCTGGAAGCAATGCCTTTTTAGCACCTCAGCCTTTACAGGGTTCAAGTAAAGCGGAACCTAGACCACTCCCTCCTGCACCTGGCCCACCAGCTCCAACATTTCGGTATGCATTTATCTTTCTAATCGTTCAATTCTGTCTCTTTACCACTAACGTCTAACATCACAATTAAGACGGATAATTGTAATTAATGTAATTTTTCTTTTTCCATAATTCAAGACAACAACCACCACCTATGAAATCATGTCTTTCTTGTCATCAGCAGATCCATAGGAATGCCCCCATATGTCCTCTATGCAAAGCCAAGTCACGATCTCGTAATCCCAAGAAGCCAAAAAAGAAAGACTAAGTCTAGCGCAATAATTCATTTAATCATTCATTTATTAATTCATGTTAATCACTTCATAATTATAGTATAATCACAAATATCTTTGATTCAATTGTTAGAATCGCTTGATTCAAACTTAGAGCAGAATTAATAGAAATAAGATGTTTATTCATACTTAATTTTTTTTTATTTTATTTAAATTGTTTTTTAATTATTGTAAAGCAAGTATGTGTTTGGTACAAAATATGTGTATGTTTATTCATCAATATTTACTGTCTTTTTTTTTAAATAATAAATATATTAAAACATTTTTTATATTTCAAACTTCTTTTCTATTTCTATAATTAATGGCAATAATATTTAAATTGCTATTCAATTATGTTTAAAAAAAAAACATGTAATCCCAGATAATATTGTTATAATTATTGCTATTATTACTATCACTATTATTATTGTTGTTATTATTATTATTTCTGATAATATATGGATAATAAGCAATGAAAGGTGGTTTTGATAATTATTGGCAATGTGAAGTCGCATACCTTTGTGAAAAAGTGTTCGAATCGCTCATTTCAAAATGTTTGGACAAAAGAAATTAAAATGACCCATTCGATATATGTAGATGATTTAAAGATCGATTTTCATGAAAATTGTTTTTATGCTTGGTTATTGTCGTATAATGCCTGATGGAAATTCTAATAAGAAGTAAGTAAATATTATGATGAATTTAACAAGTGTTTTAAACGTACAAATACTCAACTATTAAATAGCATTTGAAAAATTATTATGAAATCAGTACGATCAGTGATGGACTTAAAACAGGTTAAATAAATGTATTCTTTAATTTTTAATTTGAATTTCGATTATTATTCGATCGATAAATAATAATTTAATTAGAATTATTTGAACATTCTTTTCGTAGTTTATGAATAGTAGGCAAGTATTGAAATTATATAGAAATATTTTAAAAACCATAAAATTAATTCCTGATCCAACGGATAGGGAGTATATGAAAAATTGGGTACAATCTGATTTTAAAACTTATAAAAATGTCACAGATGACGTAAGTTTTGCAATAATTTATCTCTGCATAGTATAATTTGTTTATTTATCATCATTTTGTTTACAGTTGCAAATAAAATCTTTATTGGCTCATGGAGAAAATTCGTTAAGAGAATTGCAAAAAAATTTGGGTCGAACGCAATGAGAATAACTTACACGCAGTATATTTAGCAAATAAAATTATTTATAATATAGTTGAAAATTTGTATTTTAAAATATATAATTTATTATCTATATTTTTAAACTTAATAAATCTGTATAATAACTATTCACAAATTCTTGTTATCACGTGTCACAACAGTAAATTAAAAGACTTTCATTTTAAGTTTTATTCAGGTACATATTTATCAAGTTAAGTCCAAGGAGCAATGTAAACGTACTTGTAATAATTGAAGCAATTATTTTGCGTACATTTTGTTCATGTATTTTATTTTTTAACAATGCATCTGTCAAAATTGCGGTAATGCGTTCACCATCAAAATAAAAGCATGGTAAAGCATTAATAATTGCTAACCCCGATGAGAAAACTGCGATATATTTGCAAAAGAGAATTAAAGCTTCTGGAAAATTTGGACTTAAAAATGAAAATCTTGGTACCCAATTACTTAATTCTGTTGTGTAATATATTTCTGATGGATATCCAAAAAATAATACATCCTTATGTCCATACCTTTGTAATTGAACTATCTGTAAGTAATATGAATATTCATCGGGACTATTTTTACTCATTTAAATTTTTATAAGTTTTTAGAAATTTAAATAAGATGTAAATTACTTTTGTCATATTATCCAGCGTAGGCTTCATACATAAATCGTTAAGCATAAAACATTGGTCATTGTTTTGACACAAATTGTGGGAGCTTTCGACAATAGCTCTGGTGGGAAGACAATAGTGTGTAGAGGCTCGAGATGTTTGAATATCGAATCCTTCCAAATGTTCAAAACACAGATAACCTTTATCTTTGCTATGTTGATCACAACAATTATGAACATCAGTATTTTTGTGCTGAATTAAGAAAGACTTATCGAGTTCCTAAAATTATGAATTTTTCAATTAAGAATGTTTTGCTCCATCTATTATATAATAACTAATATTTAAGAATAATACCTTAACCATTTTATCTGTTACACAATAACCAGGAGTTGAAGTCTTAGTTGCCTGTAAAATGCAAGTTCGCCAGTTTGTTGAATTTCTAACAATACAGTCATTTATTTTATAAACTACATCTCCTGTTGATAGTCCTGATGGTCCTAGCAATGGTGAATTCTAGATTTTTTAAAAATGAATGTTCACATTTTAATTATAATACAATCCCGTATTAGTTGATAAAACGAAATACTTTAAGCTCATCTCGAATATGAAATATTTTCAATAAAAATTTTACACATACTTATTTCAGATATTACAATTTCAGTATTTAAATATCATCGTCAAATTGTTGAAATAATTTAAAATTCATTTTATTAATCTCGCAATTGTTATTAAATGAAAATTTTAATCGGAATAATAACTTACTGGCGATATATTTTTCACAAAGACACCTGAATTTTTAATAAAAAATAATGAAAAAAAGAACGTAACAGATCCTAAAACTGTTATAGCTAATACAGCAAGAACAATATTGTGCCATATCCCAGCACATAAAATTCTCAAACGATTTTTGAATGGCAATAAATCAAGTTGCTCATCGCTTATTTGAATAAAAGCGACTGGTATGATAAAAAATATTATTGCTCCTATTCCAAATAAACGGACATCTTCTCTTACAGCTGCCATTGCATGGCCAAATTCATGAACAATGCTGCATAAAATGAGTGAAAGTATATAATATCCTATTTCATTGTAAGGAATATCAACTCCTGGAATCTATGAAAGGTAAAATTTGTAATTGCTTAATAAAAATAATAAACATACGTAGAGAGAAACTATACATTCAAGCATAATGAATTTCAATTAAATTTACCATTAGTTCTAATACTTGTTCATTATTTTCATTAGATGATGATGAATTAAACAGCCAAATATTGAATGTCATTTTTAAAATAACTACCATAGATATAGGAAAGAGTATAATTGTTGCAATTAATCCTGCATTGTACCATAGGGACCAGAATTTTGAGCGGTTTAATCCCCATTTCATCAAAGAGCGATTGAAGATTGTTGTAAACCATTTTAAACGCAATAACTGAATTTCCAAACCAATTTTCTTTAATAGATTAAGATAAGGTACATGCATACACGACTGAAAAATATCAAACAATAATTAATGTATAGGAAAAAAATTAAGATAACGTTAATGTTATGATAATATCAATTGGGCTTTTATTTATACGAAGCAAATACACAATAATCATAACCTTCATTTGAGTCAATAAAAAATAAATGATAAATTATATGAATAGAAAAATAGGCTTTAAAAAAATATACATCCAAACAATAAGTAAGATATTTTACCACGAAAATTGTATTGAAGAAGAACAACGAGAAATGAGCAAGAGCGATTAATATGAGAATCTGATGGGCTTCCATTATGATAACATGACGATTAACTATTATTTATTTGAAAGATCCGCTACTATTTACATCATTTTCCTGTAAATTTTTGCGTCACATATAATCTATTACACATAATAAATTGAATAAATAATATAATAGACGTTATGGTACTGCAAAATTGTAATCGAAAATGCAAACCTAATAAAGTATTATAGATTTTAAATTTCGTAACAATTTCGTTAGCTTTATGAACATTCGCGCACTTTTTTCACATGAAAACATGATAATCCATGTACGTTATGATGCGTTTACGAACGCTTATGACGTAATATCGTCTGATTCTTGACGGTTGCGCGATTGGTCAATGTAAAGGTCGGATGATCCCTACATAAATTTTTTCATTTTATTGTCATTGACATGTTTAGTCGTCTGATCCTCGTGGACGTTCGATGTGTGCTGAAATTTGAAAAATCTTGGTTATTTAATGCGACACACAAAGTTGAACGAACCATCGTAACAAAATGAATAACAGCAATACTTGGACTTCGGTCCAAGATGGTGATCTTTCTAGTTTTTCGGCCGGTGACAACTTTAACTTGAATGATATGACCGGTTTCGATGGTGCGTATATACGTATGTTGTGTTGACATACAATTGTTTTTTAAACTTGCAACGATTGCGATATGAAGCGATTGAATAACAATATCTGGATCAGTATAGTTTGCTATATTTGTTATTGTACATTTATAAGTAGATAATGAAGAGCAAAACTTATTTCCCTATTATTTTTAGGAAATTTTAATTATTACCCTCCAAGAATATTAATATTGTTTATTTTTATTTTCAGATCTTTTAACAAATTGTGAAAATGAACTATTAAATAACGAAAGCTTATTTGGCGATGAAAATTTACTCTCCGAATTTGATGATTCTTCTTTGCCTCTGGGAGGAGATTTAAAGTTGAATTTTTTGAATTCAAATTCGATTGAAATGAAGTTGGATAGAGTATTTCATGATGTTGAAACTGTAAAGCCAAATGTCACATTATTGTCGGTCCCAGCTCAACAATTACATTGTCAAAACCAAGTAAATACAACGGTACCTTTGCAACAGCGAACGGAAAGAATTGCTCCTGTACCTGTACAGGCTCAGACTAATGTTTTTAGTCCGCAGTTTACTATATCTCCAAATGTAAATTTTAATATTCCATCGCCTGTTGTAACTTTGGCACCAGTTGCAACGCAACAAAGGCAATTATTATTGCCAGCGAAACTAATCAAATCCGAGCCATTAATATATTCTGGAAAATCACAAACTATCAACACTGCTCCAGTTCAGCATCAGATACATACATTAGTAAATACTGGAAATGGCACTGTCCTAGCTACAGGTATTTCCTTTTGATCATCAAATTTATTTTGAAAATTCAGTCTTCGAAATTGTAGCGTTGTAATATTCAATTGAAACTGTCAGTTCTATCAAATGTTTTGTCTATTTACAATCATTAGACAAAATTAATTACTAGAAAATAGTTTGATAGATATCTATCTTTTTTTATAACATTAATGAGGATTAAAATGGATTTGATAAATTCAGAAAATTTAATTATATTTAAACCAATATAAACTATATAAATACATTGTTTGTTTAACAGGGATCCCTCTTGTTTTGGACACTGATAAAGTACAAATAAATAGAATAAATACAAATACTCATGTGACTGTTCCAAAAGTTAAAGAAGTAAAACGCAGTGCTCATAATGCAATAGAACGTCGATATCGTACATCAATAAATGATAAAATTATCGAGCTTAAAAATATCGTTGTCGGAGTCGATGCTAAACTGAATAAGTCAGCAATTTTGAGGAAAACTATCGATTACATTAGGTAAATCGCGACAAAACTAAATGTTTATCAAATTAGGACAATGTTCTCTCGAGTATGTATATAATACAATGTACAAAAAATGTTGGCAAAAATATTTTATCAATGAAAATGTCTATAGCTCCCGATCTTTCAAGAGTTATTATTATTATTATTATTATTATTATTATTATTATTATTATTATTAATAATAATTATTAATATTATTCATGCATTATGTGATATTAAATTGTAAAATACCAACATTTATTTTAACATATTATATATTTTAGATATTTACTGAGTTGAAATTATTATATACTATATAATTATTATCAGATATCTACAAAATTCCAATGCCAAATTAAAAACCGAGAACATGACTCTGAAAATGTCGGCTCAACGACAGACTATACGCGAGCACTTGGTGTGTGGCGAATTGACTCCGCCTCGATCCGATAGCAGCGAACCATCTTTATCACCGGCTCCTGCACCATTATCACCGCCTTCACCACCGACTCCAGTTGTCAAAGAAGAACCTGACCTTACGCACAACATGCGCAAGCCCGCCGTTGTTTCAACGAGTAACGGCATACCCGATCACACCCGCGTATCTTTGTGCGCTTTTCTTTTCATATTCTTAGCATTCAATCCACTTGGATTTTTCATGAACAATATAACGAGGTTTAACTATGATTACACCAGCAATATAGAAGGGAGAACGATATTACAGTTTACGGGTGAGTTTTAAAGCGTTTCGTTAGAATAGAGTTGAATGATAATGCAGCACCCATAAGATTACGAGCAATTGTTTAAAAAAAAAAAAGAAGAAGAAAAACAATTATTCATTAAGGTAAAATAAATCGTAACAATTTATTTTTATTTTACGAAAGAGAAGTAAATTTTGTGTGTTTATGAGCTGCTTACCATTCCGGATTATTATTCTAATTAATTAAAACGACATTCTCAAACAGATCCACTGGATATGGAATCAACTGTATGGAGTAACATGGCTCTCTGGTTTATAAACTCAACACTGCTGGCCTTCGGCTTGTGTCGACTGTTATTGTACGGAGATCCAGTATTACCAGCTGACAGCAAAGTCTCGGTTGAGCTTCATCGATGGCGGCGTCAGGCTGAGTTTAATATGTCGAAAGACGATTACGAGCAAGCCTATCGAGATCTCAGTCAGTGTCTCCGTTACTTTTCGCGACAATTGCCGGTTATGCGCATGGACGTGTTCCTTGTAACACTCTGGCAAATCTTTCGACAAGTAATGCATCGATTGTATATCGGCAGACTCGTGACATATTTGGGTAATAAATTCGGAGAACAGTCTCGTCGACATTTAGCCGAAATATCCGCAATGGAGATGGCGATAGTCTATCAGCAGGTGCTCTGCCTTAAACTTTCTCGTGGCTCCAAGGACCCAATGGTCTTTATCGCTTTGTCGGCAGTGAATTACGCGGAGGCTGCGGGTGAGACGATGCCCAAGTCCATGTTGGCTGAGATTTACGTTGACGCGGCACTGTGCTTCAAGCAGCCACTGTTCCCTTTCATTCACAAATTTTATCTTAACAAAGCTCGGACTCTCTTGGCCTCCTGCGTCGTACCACAAAAGCTCAAGTGGATCGCCAACGACGATGGCATGCGCTTTTTAGTCTCGCAAAAGTGGATTTACGGATTGAGAGAAGAGAGCGACTTTACCGTGCAAAATAACAAGTCCGATCCGCTGTCTTATGCCGCTAGAGCATACAGAGAACATCTTATTAGTCAAGGATTGAGGTTGTTGGCCGGCACTGTTGGGGATACTCATACGTCTGGCCTCTTGGACATTGCACGGAAAATCATTGCTTCGGCCCAGATTGACTTGTGCATTTGCAACGAAGAAAACATTGGGCTAACTAGTAAGGCTCTTAAAATCTCGTCATATATTAATTTGCAATTTGGCTTTGATCGTTTAATACGATGCGTGCGAGTCGAGCAACTATGTTTATCGTATAAAATTAAAAACATTATCGATGCAAACGTGCTTGTTAGAAAAAGTACTTAAGGCTATTATTAAGTCGTTGATTAAATAATGTTTAAAAAAAAAAAAATTTTTTTTTCTTTTTACGCTTCGCTTCTCATAGTTAGTATAATCAATTTTCTTAAAATAACTTTTTAATACAAGCTCCTTCATTCAATACGTTTTTAGCATTTTCGAAAAAAATATGATTAAAATCCCTTTGACAGTAATTTATCACTAATGCATCTCTCTCTCTCTCTCTTTCTCTGCATTAGCGCCAAAGATTCTTTCAGGTTTCTATACTCGGGAGATAAAAAGCCAATAGTTAATTTCTAAAGAGTCGAATCTAATCTAATCGTAATCTAAAGAATCGAGAGGAGAGAAAGTTTTGAAATAATGTCAATTTGCAGAAGTGGAGGATGAGGTAGGATTGTGGTGGGGTGCTGCGATGTGCATGTCTGCAAACTTCAGATTGGGCGAAGAAGATTCCGATATTTGGAACATCATTGAAGGGAAATTCCCATTTGAGAAAAATCTTCAATTAGGCAATGTCAATTCGTTGCCCCACGCCATTCTTCTGCTTCTGCAATCGGCGAGATGCCCGTCGAAGCGCACGACGATGCGCCTTATCGATCAGGCCAGTACGTTTCTCGAGCATTCAACCGTTTACAGCAACTGCAAGCAACAATCGTCCCAAAATGTCTTGGTAAGCCATCCATCCTACATTCCAACGGTTCCATCGTCAACGTGTACCATATTATCCATTGCCAAGTTAAAGCTACTACGTGAGTGCATTGTAGTTGCATTGCATAGTTATTAATAGTGCAGTACTTCCACAGTGCAGCTCCTGTGGTGGACTAATGCGACAATTATCTTTTGAAGCTAAGATTATGTGCCGCCGAAGAGTAATCGAATAACCAATCAAATGTAAAATCAAATTTGCCGTTCTAGCTTACCCAATTGTGGGTGTGCGATTGGTTGCTGGAGATAAGAACGACCCTTTGGGAGGAGCTGAAGGGGGATATCGAAAAGCCAGCCATTATTTCGACTCTCGTTGGCTTTCAACGAGATCTTGCCCGGATGCGACAGCTCTGCCAGCACATAACGGTAAGTAATGAGCAGATTTCCTACACGTGCGCGATATTATATTATACGAGTCTTTTATTATAAGCTTTTCGCTTCTTTGCTCTTTTTTATTACACTTGCGCGTTAGTTATTTGTTAGTTATTTGCATTTGGAAGGAAGGGGAAGGTCAAGCTAACGATCAAATGAAATGGTGCAGGTGGGACGGGGATCGTTATTATGGTGTAGACGTAATATTATCGTACCTTTTATCATCTGTAAATGAAAGATGAAAGTACTGGAGCAACATGCTCTTTAACGTTTTTCTGAACACGCTAGTTTCAATCGATATCACCCCCAGCACTCTGAAAATCTCCTCAAATAGATCAAGCCAGCACTGTTTTGCTTTCAGTCCGTTTTACCACGTGTATTCCTGTACGAGGCAACGGCGAGGATAATGGCCGGCGCCACGCCCGTGAAGACCCAGATCTTGTTGGAGCGCAGCCTCCACCATCGCAACTCGCGATCTTCGATAATCTGCGGCAAGGACCGCTCGCACGAGCAGGGCAATGGGGAGCGCGAGCACGCGGCTGCCCTATGCCTGGCTTGCAGGTACCTGCCCGTCCTGCTCCTGGCCTCGCCCGGTGAACGCGCCGGGATGCTCGCCGAGGCCGCCAAGACGCTCGAGCGCATTGGCGACAAGAAGAGGCTGCAAGAGTGCTACGAGCTTATAAAGCAGCTCTCGCCCACCATATCTTCGAATTGAAAGAGAGAGAGAGAGAGAGAGAGAAAGGAATATTTTGGGGTGAATCGATGCAATGATTTTGATCGCTGCGAATTTTCTTAATGACTTTAGCTAAGGGGGCTGCTTGCTTTTTGTGAGGAGATTCCTGAGTTGTTTTTGTAATGCTGGAGGAATTGGAATTTTTGGGATTAGTCATTGAGATTTGCTTACTCTCACGCCTTGCATCCTCTGGGCAAACAACAACAAGATTGATGGTACAGAATTCTGAGTTGAACGCCTTAAACAGTTGGGTTTCAAAGATATTTAATCCGTTTATCTTTTATTGACTGTGATATATATATACAAAGAATTTGGATTCTAAATTATACTGTAATTTACTGCTTGATTATACTTTCACAATTTCGTAATCGTTGAGATTATCGACTAAGTATATATTAGCTAAATTAATAAACTAAATTATAAATCCTAATGAACGTTAGAGATGGGATTAGGCAGTCGGTTTTGCTAAAAACATACACACACATACACGCACGCGCGCACATCGCCCTCGCGTGTTTTTAAATTCGACAATTGCAAACAAGTCAATCGTAGTTATATGTATGTTACATGCATCAATCGTATATAATATTAGCCACGTTACATGTTACAATATCTGCTATTATTATTGAATATTTGAAGAATTTAAAAATCAAAGGGTAAGCTTATATTGCATTATTTTTATATAAATACGTAATAACGGTAGAGTCTATATAATAATAGAAATCTATCGATTTTTCCACCAATATCAACGCAAACATAAAATCTTAGATGATTTTTTAAATTTCAAGTTTTTAAAAAATAAAATAAGAATCGATCGTCCGACTTCCTGATCCCCTAAAATATAATATTTGATTAAAAAAAAATTTGTGAAAATTAATTTATGATTGAAAAATATCAACAATTAACAAAAAATATGGCAGTAGAATACATTTTAAAAATTTTCCAAATGGTTCCTACACGTAAATTTTTAGATAAAATTTATATCGACAATTAACAGCAGTTTACATTATATGAAAAGAATAATAATAAATGAAAAATATTGTAATAATAATACAAAAAAAAAAAAAAAAAAAAAAAAAAAAAAAGAAATAATTAAGAAATAATTTATAAGTAATATTTAATAAGTATGTTAATATTATATTAATATTATGTATCAATATTTTATATTGCATAATAATTTTCTATTTAATATAGTTATTAAGTTCCATAAATTACAATATGGTTTTAGTAAATAATTTCTATAATATGTACATTAAAAATAATGTACATTAATCTCACGACAAATATTCAATTTAAGTAATAACATAATTTTATAAATACGTGTAGTTTTTTGTTATAAAATTGCTTTGATTGTTGTTTTTGCACAGAGATTGAGATTTTTAATGACTTGGGAAGATCTATAAATGTGATAGAATCTTTGAATATGATAATGATATTGTTATAAATCACAAAAGGATCAAAAAGATACATTACACTATTATACGAAATTTGTTATTTTTTTGGTAATAGTACATTTGTATCGCATATTATTTTAACGGCAATACGAATTTCAAGATTTATAAAACTACATTATACACGTACTGAAGATCGGTTGTTCGCTATTAGTTATTAGCATAAGTAACTATTAGAATTAGATGGGAAAATGGACGGGAAAAATAATATATATAAGAAATTAGTAATGCATGCAATTAGATTTCTATGATGTATTACGTTACATCATATCTTTGCAAAGATCAGTTACGACTATTAACGGGACATTTCTATAAGTTTAACTTAGAAATGTAAATTAAGATCGATTATTATTTTCGGTCTGTATATTAAAGATGTACCTATTTATGTTAGTACGATTTACTAAGAAATCATTGTTAAGCGATATTTTTATAAGAAAAATAGTTGTCGGGTGAAGTGGACGAAGAGGAGGAAGAACAAAGAGCGATGATTCATGAAATAAATTATAGTCAATTCGTAAAAATTATATTCTTGTTTTTCACAATTACATCTGTATTTTTTTTTTCACCGCTGCTTATCATTGTATATGTATCATAATGAAAATAATGTATCGTTATATTTATAATATAATATAATATATAATATAATAGTCTTTATAAGATAACGACGTGTCGTTGAGTGTTAATTCGTTAATAATTATTATTCTATCTAAATTTATCGTACAAGGTACTGCATGAAAAGGGAAAATATACCTTTAATTCTTCCTCGAGGACAGAAAAATATCTTCTCTTGATTCTTTCACCGTTTCACGTGATAAGAAAAAGTCTTATATCAACGTCTCTCGACAAATTTCTACACTTAAATGCATAACAATGTGATATTATCACATTCCCCCCGAGTAACGTACGTAACGAACGCTTATCATTTTATCACTCTTATTAAAAAAAAAAAAAAAATTAACATAATCTTACGTAAAACATGAAGTCTAAGAGGCTCGCGGCTACACTATAACGTATATTACATATGAATTAAGATTAAAAAAAAAAAAAAAAAAAAAAAAAATTAAAAAAAATGCGTTACGCTTACACTTCAAAGGACACCGACCACATCCACATACGACTGTCGAGGTCAACAGCCTAGTGCGAAGCTTCCCTTAATCGCCATTCTTTCCTCTCATCCGACTTTCTCGACTCTTCTGAATTATGGGTAAATATGAAAAACACGTAGCGCGCTGATAAATATTGCTTCGCGCAAAAGAAGAGACGACTCGATGCGGCAAATGGCGAAGAATGTCGGTGATCATCTTCGTACGACTGCTGTGGTTACGTCAGAGTAGTCGATAAAACATCGGCGACCTTGTCCGTTACTCGTTCAATAGTAGAACCTGAACAGATGTTCAAAGGATTTAATCTTGAGGCATTCATTATTGTGGTCGTGAGTGCACGGATGGCATTTAACGATGGATTTTCCAGTTTGTTTTTTCTTTTTTCTTTCTTTTTTATTTATTTATTTTTTTTTTTTTTTGTCGACTAACACGTGCCAATATTTCTCTTTTTTTTGTTGTTTACACTACGTTGTTGTAAGCATTAGCGCCTGGTCGCGTCTAAAGACGTCGGTCTTTTTTTTTTTTTTTAAGTACTGGCTTACTTGCTCTGCAGCATTAAGACTTGTATAGGCAAATAAATTTATCGTCTGGTGGGGATTAGCGATATTGCAAGGCAAATTGCACATTAGACTTACGTATTGGGATATTGAAATACAAACCAAACGTCTAATGATAATATTTTTCTATGCTTACGTTTAAAAAGTAGATGAGCGTGTTTACGCATGCATACGTTAACATTGGCATAGTTTTCATGAAGATCCAAATAGTAATAAGCAAGTGTAGCGAACGATTGTTATTAAACGATAATTAATGAAGGGGATAAAGTTAAATTGTGATTAATGGAATTCATCACATTGGCTTTCGTTTGACGCAATAAAAGGAACAATGAATACAATTATATTTACCTAGGATGTAATTGTGTTTGTCGCCCACCAAGTGCGCATCTTCGTGATCGCCGTGATTGTGATCGCCGTGATTGTGACTGCCGTGCGAGTGTCCGTGATCATGTGAGTGGGCAGCTTGAAAATAAAATAAATAAATAAGAAACGTAATATTTGGTACGAAGGCATTGACATTCTTTCTGCTCGCTTTCGCTTCTTCTTCAAAGCCAACAAATCTACTATTTGTTCATCCCAATCAATGAGATTACAAGTTTATTGAATCTTATGTTATTTTATTTTTCTTTATATAAACATACACACACGCATGCAAGCACGCACGCACACACACACACACACACACATATATATATATATATATATATATATATACCTTAGTTTACCTAATTGTTAGTATTTAAGATCTATGAAAAGCAAGTTGCTTCTGATATAGATCGGATAGATTTTGCTTTAGCAATAAATCGTGCCTCTTGTAATTAAATTGATCACAAGATGTCTTATTCGCGTGTATATTAATTTTGTAAATATATGCTTTGTTTGATTAATATTTAAAAATATTATTCATATATTCGTAAATCATTAAACTCATTTTAAACAATCCATCACTGCTTCGAAGATAAAGCCGATGATTAAGTTTTAAATTTGCGTGACGTAATTTTTAAGTCGATAAATTTGCATAATTACGAATATGCGTCGTGAATATCATTAATATTTAATAAGTAGTATACGGAGGAAAAGATTGTTGCGAGTCAAAGACCTGTTCAATGTTAACGATAATATATATATTTGATTTCAATTATCTATTGTTTAGTAAACGAGGATTTGAATTTTTATGACTTCATAAAAACTTTATGATATAAACAGATTATAATCTGGTTTTTAAAACTTATAATAATGAGTCATATGATCTGAAAGTGTTTGTATTAATTTTTGATTAATCGGTAATAAATAATTAGATAAATAGATGTGTGTGTGCACGCGCGCGCGTGTGCGTGTATGTCATGCTGTGTATTGGTTGAATTAACGGAAAAACTTTCATGGAGAGAGTGATTTAAAAATCAAATTGAAAAGAGGCTCTTCCGTGAGCGAGTAACCTGATTTATTTCATATATTCGTTCGATTCAAGGTAATCATGAAAATTATCATCATTATATTGTGTTGGACAATTTCTCTATTTTTCTTCTCGACAGGAATACAAAATTCATCGAGTACTGTTTGATTAAATATCTGAAAATAAGGATCGGCCTTTTTATACTCATCCAATGTTTCTTTACGGCTTTCTCGAAATTCCATTGACGAGTTAAAAACTCTGATTAAATGTATTATTATTCATTATTTGATAACCAAAAATTTATCTCCATTATTTTATACAATTACAAATTTAATAATAATATAATAGATTAATTCCTTACTCGTGTATTAATTGTTTTTTCATTTACTTAAAAGATACTACGAGTTTGTCGTTAATTAATTTGTTTATGTTGGCAATAAGCTCATGAATAAACAGTGCGTTTCCTTTTTTTTTTTTTTTTTTTTTTAACCGACAACAACAACGATTTCTTAATATAAACAAATATTTTTTTTATCAATGTATTGACAGAAAAATTACCGATAGCTCGTAACAGGTGGATATTTTGCAAACACTCGTTTTGAACATTTCCCGATTGTTCCTACTAGAAATGAACGAACCTCACTTCAATAATAAGCCTCCAATTATTCGATCGAAAGCTCAACTGTCATTAATTAAATCGTGACCATAAAAAATAATTGAAATTTTATAAATTTTTTGAAATACTTGGCAATCTAAATAGCCAGTGCACGTATTGTTCGTGGACGAGGTGCATTAGCACAACGACAGCGGGAAATAATCGTCTCGAGTATTATCCCAGACCTACGGAATTAATTATTAATCGTAATGGCGACGCTCCGATGGCTCATCGTTCCTCCACGCATAAGACGCAAGATGTTTTCATAACGTTGGGCCGGGGCAGCCTCGAGGGGGAACATTATTCAAGGCTTTAGCCGTCCGACGCAAAACGCCATTATCACTAACGTCGCGCCAATCGCCGAGCAAAAGCTTTGCTTCCTTATTAGCGCAACAGAGCGCCGTTGCTGTCCCCTAAGCCATATCTACCCGATTAATGCCGTTTCCCACTTGACACACATCTTGCCGCTGTCCTTGCCAATTTCCCTCGATAAATCGATAAAGCTTAATAGCGCCGTATCTCGGACTCCCACCTTCCAGCCTCCGGCAGCATCATTTCAACTACCGGGGCGGTGAGTGACGTGACCGAACCCGCTCGGGCAACTTACTAGCGATCTGCAGCCCGAGCATGAGCATAAATCCTACGAGGATGGCCACCAGCTGTAGCAGTCCGCTCTTGTCGTTGGCGCGCTCCCTCGCGAGAACCTCGAAGAAGACGACGTAGAGGAGAGTGCCAGCAGCCATGCCCTGGAGTATCGTCGGCGTGGGTCCGAGAGTCTCGCTGTCGTTCCTCAAGTGTCCGAGGGCGAGACCAACCCCGATGCCCAGGGGCGTTACCATCGAGAATACACTTAGGTAGCCGAGGATTGTCCTCTTGGAGGCACCGGCGACGTACAGCTCCATGCCAACGCAGAAGGAGATGACGAGCTTGTGGGTGGCAATGGCCGCGGCGAGATAGACGACGGAGCCGAAGGCTGGCTCGAGCCCGACCGCCAGGCCCTCGAAGATGGCGTGGAAGGAGAGGGCGAGGACCGTGAGGAGGCTGCGTACCGAGCTGTCAACGTGGGTCGCCGAGGCAGTGGGCAAGTGCTTGTGCTCGGGGGCGAGCTCCCGGGGCCGTGGCCGTTCGATCGTCGAGGCCGAGGAGGACAGAGGGAAGACGCCACTCAGGGCCTGTGAGGGCCGCCGGCCGGCCCCGTTGGCGCTACCGGCCTGGGTACCGTTGTTGCAGCGACGCACCGACACCGTGCGGTAGAGGAGCGTCTCCGAGGACTCGGGCTTGTCGCTAAGGGCCGCGTGCACCGCCTCCTCGACGAGATAGACGAAGAAGAAGCCCCCGCAGAAGAGGAGCTCCGCGAGGCTCAGGCTGCCGAGGTTCACCAACTGGCCGTTGGACTGATGAAGCTCCACGCTCTCGCGCACCTCCGGGGCGAGGTGGAGGAAGGTCGTGAAGAGGAGGACGCCGCCGCCGAAGCAGAGGAGCAGCGAGGTCAGGAGGCCCTGCTGGGGCTGAGATCGGCGACTTTTAGTACAGCGGACTAAGACTAAGTCAAGGGTGCGCGACCCACTCTCTTCGTTATGTCGCAGTCTCTAGCGTCACCAGTGCGTAAGGATTCTCGTGGCCTTGGCCGCGCCGAGGCGCTTCGTGTCCGCGCTCGCAAGAAATAGGAACGCGTATAAACGGACGTAGAAACATATAGACACGTAGATAAAAGTGGTTAGGGATGATAGAGATTAAGAGACAGAGAGAGAGAGCTGAGAGAAAGTGAGGGGGTAGAGAGCGGAGAGAGAGCGAAGAGAGAGTGGAGAGAGGGGGAGAGAGCGGAGAGAGGGATAGAGAGAGAGAGAGAGAGAGAGAGAGAAGAGGTAGTGATCGCGATGGAAAATCGTCTCGACTACTGCTAGTGCCACTTTCAGAAGATTACAATTACATTACGTTGAAAACGCGTGAATAACTGCTCTCTTTAAGGCCATGTAAATGATGCGTTTACCAGTCGCTGGCACGGCCGATCTTTTCATGTCCATCCGTTCATTGTCCTCGTTACTTTACATGTCTGCTTCTTACGCGCCATTACCGTTAATGGCCGGGCTTTTACAATTGAAAAATACAGCTCGCATTTCGTGCTATTCCACCTCGCGAATACACGATCGTGGCGCTCTGGTGAATGCGAGGTAAAAGCGAAATCGGAAAGCAGCGAAATTACTTTTCCTTTTGATTCATGGCATCTGCGCGCAAAGAGGTTGTAAATAAAAAACGACGCGGCCGGGCGCTCACGACTCGAGGGACGAGCCTTCGGTAAACAACACCAGAGAGAAAGATATAATGAGAGCAGGGGGGCGCGGAGGGGTTATTTGGTGCGGTGGGGGCGGGTTGGGGGGGGGCGGGGGGGGGCGCGGAGGGGTTATTTGGTGCGGTGGGGGCGGGTTGGGGGTTGGCGGGGGGGAGGCAATTACTTGCGAGAAATCCGCGTGCGAGTTGACGGTGAGAGTCGAAGCGGAGGTCAGAGTCGTGGAGGCACTCGAGACACTCGTAATGGCTCGGCGGTTCTCGCTCTTCTTCACGCGGCAGCGGCCGATTATGAGGGGCAGCATACCCAGGATGAGCGAGCCGAGGCCCAAAACGAACATCGAGCCGATCTTGGATAGAAGGAGGATCGTCGAGGCGCTCGGGCCCGAGGATGTTGGCGTCGTCGTCACCGCGGGTACCTCCATTCTTCGATCTCTTCGAGCCCAAGATCCGATGCTCCTTAGCGGGCTTCCTCGCAATCTCTTCCTCTTTCTCACCGCACAGACTCCGCGGCTTCTGTACACTGCCTTCTTTGGCCACGCTTCTTCGCCTCTCCTTCACTCACCGAGGCTTTCCTCCTCGTCGTTTACTGTTCCGTCGCGCACGACGTCGTCGCGCACCAGAACGACTCGACGAGGATTCGCGATTCGCTCGCTCCGCGCCTCATTTTTTCTGCCCGCATTAACACTCAATGATTTCTAATCTCCACCTTTAATACAGAATACAAAGAAACAAATAGTAATGATAACAATAGAGCGCGAGCTTGGAGCATCGGTTAAATCAAGATTCGAAGCGATTGGCGAAAAAAAAAACAGACTGCATCTCGAGTAGCTGCAGCCAGCATCGCAAGTGTCACCCGCCCGAGTGTGCCCGAGATGCGAAGGAACTTGTAATAATAAACTCGCGGCATCGATGATTCCAGAAAAACTCGTCTCAAATACGAATCCGAGCAAATTAATTGTACACGGACACGTACCGGCCATTATCTAGTGAAGGGGAGGGGGTAGAAGGTGGATGAGTGGGAGATGTGGAAGAAATCACTTCGGGCTTTTTTTTTATATCCTGCCAAGTTGAAACGAAAGCGCGACTTTAACGAGCGCAACCGTCGCCATACGCATGCGAGTGTTTTTATTTGTTTTTGTTTTGTTTTGTTTTTTGTTTAACGCTTACGTTATATCGTTACGCCCATAATCATTCCTTTATCTTTTTAATGTAAAAGCTCCTCGCTTAACCGTTGTACACGCCAATCTATTCGCTGGTTGTAGTAAAAAAAAAAAGGCCGCGCTTTTTCAATAAAGATTTCCGCGTTTTCAGCGTGACGAATATGCCTCTTTTGTTTGCCTGCTCGTTGCTTTAAGGACGGGCAATCGCTTCCAGGGCGATGAAAATTCTCGGATCGCTTGCATTGGGGGCACGTTAAATTATGGCTCACTGTGCGGTAATGATCAATTCTGATAAAAGACAACCTAATGGAATGATACGAGGGAATGTCGCCATGTACGTTGCACTTTCAAAGTGATTTCACGAAAGTATGTTATCTTTCGATGACCAAAATCATCAATTACAATGTCAATAAGCACTAAAAATCACAAATTGCTGCTACGCTTCTTCAAAATTGTGAAGAGACTGTCGCTGCTACGCGTTCGCTCAACGCATGTCCTTTATTTTTAAGACGATTGAATTCTTACTCCAAAATGGTCGTTAATTCCAAAAAATTCAAAGTAAAAAAGCATATATGATGAATAGCCGGTGAGTCGTCTAATACTCTCGATATTTTTATGCATCGCACATTGTGTAAGCCTCAATAAGAAGAAATATCGGTTGTTCTTAATTTTAATACATGAATACTTGCTGATAATATAGGAATAAGCATTAGAATTGTTTTATGCGCGCGTGCTAAAAATATAAAACTTTGAATTACTTTAAATTTATTATTGAGTATGAATAAAAATGAATTTATTTGATACGATTTATTGATAAATATTCATATTTCGACGTATGGGTGGAACATTTTTATTGGCAAAACAAATTATAATACGTATTTCGGTCGCAAATGCGTCACACATTTTTAACATAAACATATGTATGACTTTTAATGCTCACTTGCGATCTCAATAATGGAGATCGATATTTTTATTGTATTGTATAATTTATATGCAAGATATAAATAAATAACCGTTAGAACGACGATAACCTGTGAATTGCCATTTAAGTTTGTAAAACTCGCTATCAAGAGATTAAAGGAAAGAGGCACAATCAAGCCACAATAAATCTTAAAAAGAATAAATATACAAGGAACTTCATAATTATTGTTTTCAGCAATTCAATGTGAACTTGTGCCCTTCTGCAAATTTTCCACAGTCGTGATTGTGGAATGTATGAAATAATTTCTATGGTGCGCAAAGATTCTTTGGTGAGGATTAACCGAAAACTGTTTATCAATGTGGCTTATAATGTACGAATGGGCTATGCAATTTCATTTAGACGTGTTTTACATAAATCACTTTATTCTATCGGATTTAATTACTTTTATTTTGATTATAAGAATTTAATAGCTTTCTACAATTATATTGTGCGCAATTGTATTTCGCCATGTTAATTTAAGAATTAGACATTCACTTATAAAAATTATACATCTATTTGTTGTTATTTTAATATATTTTTTTACTATAATTTTCATTTCTCGACATATTTAACTGAAATTAAGATTGTAAAGTATTCTCTTATAAAGTATCCTGAAAAATTCTTTACGAAACGAAATTAGTAGCTTTGTGTGTACTATCGATGGCTTACTTGAAAATTAAAAACTTTCAACGGTTGTATTTAATAATGTCAATGTGTTACTATTGAATATGTATGAAGAAAGTTTTTCATTCCCGATGACTAAATCAATGGATCTACATAAATGATTATATTTACATTTGGCAACTAGCTTACACAATGTAATTCTGGAAAAACTATTTCAAATTTCAAGGAAAGGTATGACATTGGAATAAATCTCTTGCTCAATCATGATTCTCAAGTATAATGAATGAAATCAAGGGACTTTATGGAAATGTGGCTTATCCAAAGTACGTGCTTAGTTTAAAAAAAGCTTTGTCCGTTATAAGGACGATATTATGCATCAACTAGTGAAATCTAAATTCTTTACACATGGGATATATCAATTTGAACGTAAGTTGATTATATTATAAAGTCCTATCTCATATTGTATTTGTGTAACGTATGAAATTGAATTTATTATGGAACAAAATTTTTTTTCAATATTTAGATATTTTTGTATTGTAGGTTAACCTATAATAATGTTTACCTATAATTCAGAATAAAGTTGATATTTTTATTAAAGTATTCTTTTAATTTTGTACGAACTCTGTGCGCGCGCATGGAAACAATAATGACCACTTATAAAGTGCAAACATTTTTAATTATTTTTAAGTAACAAAATTATAAACTAAAATATTCATTTCTCAGGAATCAGTGATGATCGATAATTTTATAAAATATTACTTTATATTTATTATTAATTATGTTGGTTTGGTTTATATATTACATTATTGTGTAATATTTGATTATTGCTTAAACTATTAGGAGTATTTAATTTGTTAATAAATAAAATCTATAAAAATCTAAAAAAATCTATATTATAAGAATTAAGTTTATATAAATAAATAATTCCAATACTAATTAATTGGTTAGATTTAATAAGAGTTTTATTTTATAGTTTGACACTTATAGCCTAGGCAATATAAATTATACGTATAATATTTGTGATGAGGTAATTGTAAACAAGTTTTTAAATGTAAATGTTTTTTTTACGATAAATATGCAAATTCAATATAAATAATTATCATCGACTATTACCTTTTTCTTTTACTAGGAAATATTTACAATTATTTTTCATTTTTAATACAACAGTCTATCTGTTAACATAAGTGTTTTCGTAAATAAAAATGTTTCCATACATTAAATAAAAATTTCTTTAGCAATATTTAATCTTCATTGTATAAAGCTCAACATTAAAATATCTTTCAAAGAGAAAATATCATAGATTTTCGTTTAACTTTATCTTACTCTTACGTTTAAAATCCATTACAAATGCAAAATACTTTTAAAGTTTTTACTACATAGTTAAGTATTTTAATTTATGGCAATTGGATTAAGATTAGTGTTTTTCGATTATTATTTTCAATAGTAAAATTAGATGATACAAAGGTAATGGATTTTACTAGTAATCTTTTAGTGCGTTCGTAAAGGAATAATAAATTTTAACTTAGAAAATATTTACCATATTATTAAATTTAATTTGTTAATTCCAAGTTATAAAGTATGTAAAAAGATATATATATATATATATATATATATATATATATATATATATATATATATAAAGAATAATTATAATGTAAAATGCTTGAAATCAATATTTAATATTAATACGGATTTGTTAAATTAAGAAAATTTTTCAATAACAAGTAAAATACGATCAAATTTAAAGGGAACTTAGATCTTACTAATACATTAATATAAAAAACAGACGCTTTCGGTTTTATTGATATATAATACACTTAAATTTTACACTATGTTTTGATTTATTCCATTACTGGCATTCGTGAAAAAGAAAAAGAAGAAAAAAAGAAGAAAAGCATTATTTAATGACTTTATAAAAACAAAGATTCGCGTCTTATTTGAAAGAATAGGTATTGAATTTATTTTGATATTATTCAATGAAATAGTTATCTTAATAATAATATATTACGATGTGGAGTATAAATGTCAATATTGACATTTCGTATGTATTAATTACTTGATTCACGAATATCAGTCTTGACTTTTTAACTTTTAGTAATAACACATATTTATACCAAAAAAACCTGTTTATAGAAATCTAAAAATAAAACTATTGAAATAAGAATATATATTGACATATATAAAATATTCTGAAAAATGTGCTAGGTTACCGAGTCGTTTATATTAAGATAGGAAGGAATTCAATATGTGATAGAAAAACTAATGAGAGTATATCTTTTAAAATATTATGCAATTTATCGACTTACTAATGACCTAATTTAAAAATCGTAGACTTTACATGTTCTTATCGAGGAACCTATTGCTCGTATCCTTAAATGTTAATATTACTAATAAATATAATATTCTAGTTTCTGTATTTACTTTTTTGTTTTAAAACGTAAAAATTATTAAAAACGAAATGACTCTTCGATTACATTCGAAGTATGATTGCACGAATAATAATTATAACTCTCATACACACGCTCACCTATTTAATTATTAAATTCCATTCATTTTTGGTTATCATTATATAGGAACTATCTATAATATATAAGTATACATAAATTCCGTATATTTATTTTTCATAAATTTTGTCTCGTATTCTCTGTAAATATTTAATGTTTCACCCATATATTTTGTAACATAGTATTTATACATCCAAATTTTTTTTTTCACTATTTATTTATAGATTTTCATAATGTATAAAATTTTAAATACCGAGTGCTGAACTGCTGCACCACATAAACCAATCAATATTCCGGTAATGCATTTATCCAATATATGCACATATATATATACATATATTGTAAAAAATTTAAATATAAAATTGAAATTAAGATTGACGATTAATAGAAATTATTATCGAATAATTATATATCGAGGTCATGTTTTGATAATAATTTTATAAACAAGATTGTATAAAAATAATATATATATATATATATATATATATATATATATATATAATATTATTTATTTATTTATTTATTTATCTAGCAACGTATAAAATTTAGAAATTTTAAAACAAAACTTCTAACGAAAGTATTTTCTTATCTGCCAATATTGAAAAAGTTTTCAATAGTATTTTATTCTACTCTCTAGTAAGTTTTATATAAAACAAAATATGTCTTTTATGGTATTTTTCAAGTAAATTGGATTAATTTAAAAACTTCTTAAAGTAAAATTAGTTTATATAAAATAAGTTAATTCAAATAATTGAAGTTCATTAATGTTTATTTAATTTTAATCACTAATATCTAATGACTATTAAAATTATGTCTTTATTAATAATGAACATAAGGGAACGATGGGAAATATAATATAAACAATGAGAAAATCATTTTATGATTTCCGATTTTTAAGTAAAAGAATTTCCCGTTCTTTAATACAACTTAAATGGTTGTTACCAAGTTACCATACGAATTATGTTCGATCGTTTAACTTTCAAAGGCTATTTGGCGCACTATATCCATAAAAAGTAAAATTGATATTTTATTTAATAATAGCAATCGTAACTAATTAGTTGTTTATCAAAAGAACCAATTAGCGAGTCGCGTTTCGAATAAACTTCCGTATGAGTTATCTGTCAACAACAAGAGGGTGAAAAATATCGTTAAACGATATATTTGTGGCCTGAGAACTTGTAGATTCGTATTAATATTATTAACTTTCTTCTTATTATTATTTTTATTATTGATATTATTCGCATATTGTAATGAATTGCGTGTTAATAATCCTTGTCAATAAATTGTCGTTATAATAAATTAAAACTTAAGTCTTTCGGAAAATAAAATATATATATATATATATATATATATATATCGGAATGTACGCTCAATTTCAAGAAAGCAAGTTTAAATAAAATGTAAATACTTTGTTAGAAATACAGTTGGGCCATCGGAAAAACTCTTACTTTGCTTATACGAGGGTGGAATTGTAAACTATAAAAGTCTCTTAACTAACTTTAAAAACTGATGCTGTGTACGATCCTATTAGCGAAACTTTAAAAGACCAGTTTGCAACGGTAGCGAAGGTTTCTTTCTTCCAACCTCTACTGGTGCGCGACTCTTCGGACTTTCACATCGATCGGCCAGAATAATTAACATTACTGCGCGAACCATCGGTAACAAAACGCAAATGTGTTCGCGACAATAATGCAATTATTAGATTTACATATGCGCGGTCGCCGAAGTTCGTTGCTCATCTCTCATTCTGTGCATTATTTTTCTTCCTTCGTCGCGTTGCACTCGATCGAAGAGCCCCACCCGCATTTCTGCCACGGCTATTCAAAATGTGTGTGGATGCGTAAATTGAAAACGCGGTCAATGCGAGCCACGAGGTATCGGTCAAGAGACAGTGAGAGAGAGAGAGAGAGAGAGAGAGAGAGAGAGAGAGAGAGAGAGAGACTCCGTGTATAAAGTCGCTGCACCTATAGCATGCAAAGCCAGGGATGAAACAATGTCCGCGATAATTTTCAATCGAGTATTATGATATTTAATTAAAAAATTGTCGCCATTGCTTCAGTGGCCGGAAATTCAAACGGATCATCGGCACTGTCTTTCATAATTTCACAACGCACACTGCCTCATCACGACAATTTCGACTGTAATATTCTCTGTGGACGCACGCGCACTCACACACATACACGCTGAATAAAGGCGCATACCTCTTTTAGGACGACGGGCACAAGCACTGTTAAACAAAAAAAAAAAAAGAAAAGAAAAAAAATACAAAAAAAAGAAATAACGAAAGAATAAAACAATAACGTTGGAAATAAAACACTCGGTGAGCGAAACAACGTTCGTCCGAACGCGCCGGAAGCCCGTGGAATAAAACGCGCGCGAAACGAAAAATGCGTCGGTGTGATCCTCTCCGTCTCCCTCTCTTTCTCTTTGTTTCTTTCGTTTGCTCCGACGGGCGCGCGTGTCCGAATGGAAATGCACGCGTAAGAATACTTCTCCCCAAGCGTGCGAAAAAGCGAGATAAATTGAGACAGAGAATGAGAGAGAGAGAGAGAGAGAGAGAGAGAGAGAGAGCGAGAGAGTGAGATAGTGAGAGGGAGAGAGGGAGAGAGTGAGTGAGAGGGAGTGATATATATATATATATATATATATATAGCGTGGTAGGGGTGGGGCGGGGTGGTGGGAGCGATAACGAGGTTGAAGGAGTCTGCAGGAGCGTGGCAAAGGTTCGCGTGTATGTAAGGACACGGCCGAAAAAGCGAGCGGGCCATGCTTTTACTACTAGAGTCACGTGCATAAGATGTTTTATCTGGGTTACGCGGATGTGTATATTTGGGCAAGTTGCGCGATCAATGAGACTCACAGTGGTGGTGCTTCACTGCTGCCGGCGCTTCTCCTACTGCTATATTTTGAAAAATGGATCGCTTACAAAGGTATATTGAGCTGCACAGAAAGTGGGAGGGAGGAGGATCGAGATTGCCTGTGTTTTTCTCTTGTCCTCGCGTAGTCACGGTCAACTGGATACTCGGGTGAACACGAGCCAAGAGCTACTCGTCTGTCTGTCTGCCTTCCTCCCTCTCTCTCTCTCTCTCTCTCTCTCTCTCTCTCTCTCTGTTACTCTTACTCTCTCCATTTTTCATTTCTCTCCGTCCCTCTCGGGTTCTCCTACTCCTCCCCGATTTTGTACGACTGCGAATGTACGTTTTCAGCTATAGTTTCGTCTCTATCTGACACGCTCGTTTCACTACTTCGGTTCTTCTCTCTTCCTGCTTCAATAATTACTGTACTTTTTAGCTTGTTTATTTATAAAAATCGTGTACTTGTCTTTGAGCGAAATTAAGTTTTACGCAGGGAAAATATTAAAATTATGATGATCTATCGTTATTATTTCCAAAATAAGCGCTCGTCGTATTATTTTCGTTATTAAACATTTTATCTCTCCCGTGCGATTACCGTTACATTTAATGACTGTTTTTTTTTCTCTTCCAGATAATTGTTTAAGGAAATACACAGGATATTCGTGTAAATCGGAAAGTCACGCTATTTTCAAAAAATCATCGCTTCGATACCGATTTCCAAATCGACAAATTCCACGGCCAATTGCGTAAATAATCGCCGTGCCTCGTCATTTCATGAAATATTGGATACGTAGCGATGAATTAAAATCTCCCATTTTCTCGATTTCATGTTCATTTACATTTTTAAGCTGTTTTTTTTTTTTTCTTTCTACGTTGGGCACATAATTCGTAATCATCTGATTAGATTAGAAGTAAGGCTCGACAATATTAATATGCCGCGCGCGGGGCCGGAAACAGCGCGGAAAGATGGTTCGGAATGTGCTACAAGAACGATACTTTTAAGTTTTAGGCATTTTTTAGGCATAAAATAATAAAAACGTAAGTAGCTAATTATTTCGTAAATAATAAGCTCGGCGAACGAGGTATTATACGACGAGTTGGCAATTTCTATATTAACACATTACGATCTCATCATATCTCACCCAAGCGTATTATGCATTTGCGGGACAACAACGGCATCAATTGGCCACGGCACGAGATTCGAATTTTGGTGAAATTTTGCAATTGTTTTCCATTCACGATTGTTATCAATTTATATAAGCGAATGGAAAGCATCCGCGCAATAGTGCAATATGCAAAGTGATTGGAGCTTAGAGGCAACAATGCTGAAGCCCGATAACAAGCCACGGATTAAATAAAAAGTTAAATGCACAAGGAGGCAGATGTTTTTGTGCACCGTAATTAGAGACATCGAGAGCATACGAACATTGATAAAGTCTTCCGTCAAAGGCACATTTGCATGTCACCCAATTGATTGAAACAACCTCTTTATTAATGTTATTAGCTTACAGTTTCTCTAACAGCTCATTATTCTCTTTTCCCATTCTCTTCGTTATTAAGAAATAGCGGGAAGGAAGATTACGGGAGACTGCGATGAGGGGTGGGTGGGGACGAGGAGAAGAAGCCTCGTAGGCTTTAACAATGCGATTAGCCTTAACTCGCGGACTTGAGTCCGAAGTTCTCGGAGCCGCGCGCCGAGGTGACGAGCAGATAAGACGATCATCCCTTCTTTCGCCCCGTACGTCGTGGCTCGAGCAAGTGCACGTCTCGGTACCTTTATCTCGTTGCCTTCCCCTCACCCTGCCCAGGCCAATTTTCATATGCGATTTATTGTTTTAGTGATTATGCGCAACGGCGGCTGCCCGCGTAATTCGTACATTCTAGTTAGCGTATTACGGCTAATCGAGCTCCCGCGGCGAATCGACCACGGCGGATCTGTAAGGCGAATAATTCTGACCGTCGCTCTTATCGTAGACATTAGGCCGCTTATTACGTTGTTACTTTTTGCGAGTCCCACTCATCGAGGCCATTGACCTTCGGTGGCCCATTAACGCCAAGAGGATGGGCTCTTAGAGGTGGCTCCCCTCTTACTCGCAATGCGCATCAAAATGGATTGTTTTTCTTCGTTTTCTAAAATCCCCCTCCCCCTCCGACCCTCCGACCACCAGCCCAGCAAGGCAAACTCGAAACGGCGGATCGATACTCAAGATCCGCTGCCACTCCGACCACACGCTATTTATTCGCAAATTTCTTGCCAATCTGCATCTTTGGCATTCGCCGAGCTTGTTTGTTTGCGCACCGGTGCGTTCTATTCCCTGCACCATTCGTCGACGCGCATTCGTAAATTGAATTATCACACCAGGGAGAGTCAATGATGACGGGAAAGCATTTAATCTCTTTGTTTGTTTGTTTGTTTTGTTTTGTTTTGTTGTTGTTGTTGTTTTTTTTTTTTTTTTTTTTTTTTTTTTTTTTTTTTTTTTTTTTTTTTTTTTTTTTTTTTTTTTTTTTTTTTTTTTTTTTTTTTTTTTTTTTTTTTATTCGAAGGCTTAATTTCCAAGAGCCCTCGTAATATTTCACGCGCCCAGTAAACTTTCGCGAACAATCAGCGAAAACTAAACTTTTCGAGCTCGAATGATCGATGCCGAGGGTGGTGGTGACGGAGGAGGGAGGACCGCCAATCCTTCGCCAATTCAACGAGGATCGATCGAAACACGCGGGCCAAGTGCATTTGTGTGGGAACGAGTGGAGGGAAAGTGGAGCGCGTTGTTGTTTTACGTGCTCGGTACGGTTCGGCTTACGAACGCTCTGTAACCTCCTGTATCTTCCTATGTTTCGCTCCGGTCGCTCGTTCCTCACTCGGCCAGGAGATCGAAGCTAATTTACGCGGGATTGTTGAGAAATGGACGGCTGGGTATTGTCTTTGGGATTCGCGGCTCTGCCCGGAGAACTTGGACATTCGCGACGTCGTTCTCGAGAGTAATTGATGGCCATTGACAATGTAGCCATTGGCTTGTTATAAAGATCGAGCTGATTACTTTATACGAGCGCTCGCTCGTTGCTGCGTGCATAAATTTGCCCGTTAATTATGATTTCAACAACAACTCAACAAATGAGCCATGGCTTTTCGTTCGTGAAACAAGGCATAATGCTTCATGTATATTGTTTAAGTATGAGATCGGAGTTAAATTTCCGGTAAAATTTGAGAAAGTATTGGGCAAATAGATAATTAGGAATCGTTGCGTGCGGGTTTGTTTAAATAAATTGCGGTTTTGAAGGAGAGGGGTGCAACGGAGCCAGAGTTTTATGATAGAAATGAAAGGTAAAGGCCGGCTTATACTAATGCCATTTAAAATTATGCCAAGTATATCAATGAAAGATGATAAAGTCGTGTAAATATCGTACTTTTAGGTTGGGCCAAGAAGTGGAAAAAGAAAAAAAAGAAAAAACAAAACAAAAATGTGTTGTGAACGAACGACCAAACGTATCGTACGGATATACGCTCAGCTAACACCAATGAACTAGCATGATTCACCAAGATAGATAAAGTTGCATACAATAACAATAGTTGTAATTTACACATAGCGATATTAGAGCATTGACAAAGTATGTGGCCGGCGAATAATGCAATACTTTTCGAAGCACTGCTATGGAAAATATACGAGATCTTTATTTACTTTTACCGCTATGTACAGTCTTAATCATAATTTCAGCTTTTTTGTTTTATTTGTTTTTTTAAATTAAGTACAATCGACCGATACTGAGAGACGCCGCTAGTTTATTTAAACAGTTAGCTGCATAACGGCAACGACAATGCTAATGGCGATATTTCTAAAATATCTCCACTTATCTTTATTTGTTCGCTCTTTGTATTTTTTTTTTTTTTTTTTTTTTTTTTTTTTTTTTTGTTTTCTTCTCTTTTCTTCACAATAATATAAAATGTTATATAAATAAGCGCTACGACTCGTGTAAAGTGGAGTAGAGAGATATTTTCCATTATGTTTATCATTCGTTGGGCAGCTTGGAACATTAAATTTCAACGTTCAGAAGAACGGTCTGTCAATATCTTTTGTTTAAAGCGCATTATGCTAATTAACGCGCATAACGTTCTATTTCATATTGTTATCTTGCATTTATTTAAACATACATTACAAGTAAATGTTAGAATTAATGTCGCCAAAGTGGCCTATCAAATGAATTCATTCGCCTTTTGCTCGACCCGAATGTCTAATATGCCTGCGCACATGATACTATAAATATAGAATCTCAATACTTTAAACTGCGTGAAATATTTCACATTCATAACGCTTACGCCCATCTCTTTAATACACATCAATAATGACGTATATGTGAAAGAAAAAAAACAACAAGTTTTAATATTGTTCAGATAAGTGTGAACGAAGCATGCTCGTACGGTGCAAATACGTCAAAATTAATTATGATAATCTCGAGCCGGCGACCATCCAATAATTAAATAAAATAGAAAATCGCTATAATGGAATCGTGAAAGTTGGACTTTCCACGACGTGCTGGCAAAAAACGTGATTATTTTAATCACGTGTAATATGCCTTGACGTATATTACCTCGACGAGCTCGTTGATGCGAAATTTAGCGAGGAACATTTCAAATACAAGTGACAATCCGAGGGCCACTGGCTTTAATGGGACACTTGCGACAAAAATCACCTTAAGCTCGTTATAATGAGTTAGCATCGGGTGCAATGAAACCTGGATAAAAAGCAAGATTGCTCCAGAGACCTCGCAAGCCGCGCGTATCAAAAATCTTCAAATTTTTTGCGCGCGGAACTTACGCGCAATAATGATAATGAGATATGTAATATAGCAGGAGCAGAGTATCCGCAGCGATAAAAAGTCGCTACGACAAAAAGGATGAAAACCCGTTGGCGAAAATTCAGAATTCCCAGAGCGAGCCATCGTCTGCGGGAGGATGAGAAGCATGAGGAGGAGGAGGAGGTGGATGAGGAGGAGGAGGAGGTGGATGAGGAGGATGAGGAGGAGGAGGAGGAGGAGGAGGAGGAGGTGGATGAGGAGGAGGATGAGGAGGAGGAGGAGGAGGAGGAGGCG